TATATGTGTGTGTGTGTGTGTGTGAAATATTGTTAAGATTAAACAATTTCAAAAGGGTAAAGGGAAGCTAACTGAGTGTAGTTTTAAAATCAGTTCTAAAGCACATGGACAGCCAGTGTAAATACATACAAGGGTGAGTCACATGTTCTTTTTTAATTAAGGGAGGAAGGACAGTAACAATGTTTTAATCATGTTTTGTTTGAACACACAAAGCAACAATAGCTCTCTTTTTTTTAATCTCCCAGCACTATCTATTTATGGTGGCAAGACAATTTAGCCTTTAGGGATTTGATGCAAAAAATCTCTCAGTAATATTTTTGTTATTTTTAGGCTGTTGGAGGTTTTCTTCCCGCTCTTTTTCTTGCTGTGTTACTGAAGGAGGAGATAAATATCTTTACAGTTGGGCCAACTCCTCATTCACCAAGAACCCTGATAGCAGCAACACACACACTGGGTCTATACTGGTGAGTATCTAGATTGTTATTATTATTATTATTATTATTATTATTAGTATTAGTAGTAGTAGTAGTAGTAGTAGTAGTATCATTATTGTTGTTGTACTGTATTAGGTTATAATCATTAAGATTCTGATGATCAGAGTTTTCATTATTCCACCTGTAACAATTAAACATGAATAATTGGGGGTTACAAGCCCATATGACAATAGTCTAGACAAAAAAATGTTTGGTCTGCAAACAAGGTTAATATTAGAGATTTTTTTTTGTTTATTAATATTTTGACTTCACTAACAAGCCTTTTCTAAACCACTGGAGCTGTCCCATGACTCTTGTTACCTTGTGAGAGCATGTTGAATGTTTTATGTATGTATTCTACTTTATTTATTTATTTATTTATTTCATTTATTTCTTTATTGTGATTAAATAGCAATTTCCGGTGACTACTTTAAAATCAAAGTGACCAAACTGATCATGCACGTGACAGAGTCGAGAGAAAAATACAGAAAAACATTTTTTTCATACTTGGTTTTGTCATAGTCCAACTAAAATTTCTTGGCTTAAATAGTAAAATTTTAATAACGACTCGGCGGTAGGGTCATCGCTACAATAGGAACTTACACGAACGTTGTGTTTCTCACCGGAGCTTTAATGGAATGGACTGTCAACAAAGAACATGGCGCCCAAATCCTGAAATCTGCTCGACGTTAGAAATGCAAGGTGAACGCCTTTCGCGTCGTTGAAGAGTAAAGGTAGGTAAAGTAAATAATGTACTTGTCTACACAAATATCTGGTGTCCATGTTGCCGTCACACAGTTTTACCTCTCTGCTGTATGACGTAGCGTTAGTTTCATTCACATAGCTAATTAAGTTTGATTTTATTAACAGTCAAAAGACTGGTGAACCTGGACCATCAATTAGTTGTTGAGGAAGAATCGACCCTCGTTAACGCTCTCATTGTTCAAATAAATGTTTGGTAAATTTGTCTTATTCTAGAAGCAATTCTCCCCTTTTGCTTGCTAACCCTGCCGCTAACCTACTTTCCTGTGTAGCTCGTTAGTTGACATCACTGTCACTGACATCAATAGCTGCCCAGGGCTTTGTGTGTTGCCACAACATCAAGCTAGAAACTCGATATTTGAAGGGCAAAGAATAAGGTCAACCGTTAGTGTCGTTAGTTCCGTTTGCTCACCAAACTCCAAACAAAAATCAGGACATTTAATATTTTGCCAGCTGTTAAGTTAAAAACCTCTAAGAACAGGGATATCTTTCATAAATGATAAGGATCCATTCTTAGATTCGGGATACATCAGGTATTATTATACATTTTATTACAATTCCTTTTTATAAATACGTGATGTTTTGTCGCGTTTGTTCACCAAACTGTTAAAAATCGGAGAGAAAAATGACATTTCAGAGCTTTAATTTGATTGTGTTTCATCCACATGATAAGATGCCTTAAGTATTTTCCTGTATGTCTTCAGGAAAAAATACTAATTTTGCAAAATGGTTTATTTCAGGATAATGTAATGGATTATAATTACTGATGCATATGAACTTTACTTAAATGTAAAAGCTGGCAAAGGTGGGGCTTGTTTTTTTGTTTTTTTTTACCATGCCAGGAAGTAACGATTTTACCTTTACTAAAAACAATATATCATTATGTATTTGCTAACTGTGTTTTGTATTATTAAGCAGAATCTGTAATGTAACTCCCTCTCAGATGTAGTGGAGTAGAACCATATACCAACAATGTCTATTAAATTCCTCCCTTGGCTTTCAAAAGATAGGGGAATTTTTACATTTTGAATTCACTGCACTCTCCTGGAGGATCAGCTTTACACCAGCTTTTTTGTTATAGCACACAATTTGACCTTTTTTCCATGTATTTCCTCTTAACATCTTGGAAATTACTGAGCCTGAACTGTATATTCATATATTAAAGATTTGTCTCGTAGGAACTAATGGGCTTGAAGCTGAGAGCCACAGACAGGGTAGCGAAATCAGAGAGTATTGATAGATAACTGAAACGTTATTGGTTTTGGTGTTTCATGGCTTTTGTGGACAATAATATCAGTATTGAATAGCATTAGCTGGTCCCTTATACTGTGTAGCAGAGTTAAAAGTCACCTGACTTGTTCTTTCTCAGATCATCAGAGCTGCTGGAGGCTGAACACTAAGCTGTTGTGAAGTCATGGTGCTGAAGATCTTCTTCCCACAGTGCTGTAACAGGGCAGACAGCGGCCTTCTGGTCGGCCGCTGGATCTCCGGCCATGACTCTGCCGTGGTGTTGGCGGTGATCCACTACCCGTTCATCCCTGGACAGGTCAAACAGTACATCCAACAGGTCAGTGCAGCACGGGACAGACCTCCGTGTCCTCTCAGGTCTGGATAAGGGTTACAGTAAATTTAGCCCCAGATTGTGCCTCTCACTGCTGTTTTGAAGGTGTTTCCAGACTCCTCAAGGATTCTTATAAACATCTGGATTTAGAAAAATTAAATCCACTGCACAATAAAACCTGTTTTTTAGCATGTTTCCTAAGTTGCTCCTATTTTTTCCAATCCAAAAGGATAACTGGGGATGACATGTCTTTTCACTTAATTAAATGGCTTATGCTATGTCGGTAAGACTAAAAGAGAGCTTAAGACCCGTATCTCTGAACACAAAAGCAACATCAGAACCAAAGACGAAAAATCTTCTGTAGCAAGACACTTCACTGAAGCAGGTCACGATGTTTGCTCTTTAAGATTTCGGGGAGTAGAAGAAGTCAAACCACTTAAAAGAGGGGGAGATAGAGAGAGAGAGCTCTTCTACAGAGAGAGGCTTTTTGGATCCATAGTTTACAGACAGAATTTCCTAAAGGTATGAATGAAGAGTTGCTGTTAAGTTGTTTTCTGTGACTACTATAGACTGATTTATGGTATTGTCCATGATACGGTGTGGGCACTATATACTGTGCTTTGTACCCGTTGAATTTTCTGTTACTGACGGTGCATACTTGGATGACCTGTTAGTGGAACATCTCAGTGACTATCTGCACTTTATGTTTTCACTGTGCTCTTATGATCTGAATGTTAACTGAGGAGTGACTATTTCTATGAAGTCCTTTTTTTCTGTACTTCTTTCCCAACCGTTATTTATGGGATAAAGACGCAGATCTGTTGTACTCTATGTATTTTACTGTGCACTCATCTGATTAAGTAAGGGACAGTGACCGAATGTATTTGTACACTTTGTCTATTTCTAATGTATACAGACATTTGTCTCTTAACAAGGGACAGCTACTCAGAATGTCTTGATGCATGTTATTTACTTTACTACGCATTTATGGTCTAATTGTTAATTGAGGGACAGCTACTTAGTACTTTATTCTTCGTACTGTGCACTTGTGATCTGATTGTTAATTGAGGGATAGCTACTCAATGACTTTTTTGCACTTTATTTTTCTTACTGTGCATTTGTGATCTGATTGTTAATTGAGAGACAGCGACTCAGTGACCTTTTTGCACTTTATTCTTCTTATTATACACTTGTGATCTGATTGTTAATTAAGGGACAGTTACTCAGCGACTTCTTGCCAGTTTTTTTCTGCACATTTATGATCTGATTGTGAATTGAGAATTGGTACTTACTCTGCCCCCTTATACACACACCGTTGCTGTTCTCAGTGCTTTTCTGTATATGCACTTGTGATCTGATTGGTAATAGAGGGACAGTTACTCAATAACTTTATGTAAGTCTTTTCCTGTGCACTTAAGATCTGATTGTTATTTGAAAATTGGGTACTTTATCTGCCCCCTTAAGCACACATGTTTTACTGTTGTTCATAGTGCCTTTTTGTACGAGCAGAATTTATTATGCATATATATATCTATTTTCGGTGTATCTACTGCTATTTTGCTGTGACACACTTGTTTAAGATTGTTGTATTGTTATTGTGTTTATTCTTTGCCTGTGAGTTGGCACTACATTGTATGGAGGAAGTGTAAAGTGTCTTTCCACACACCTGCTCTGATTGCTTCGAGCATACTTAAACGCCACTTCCGTAACCTGAGTTACATACTGAAGAAGATTTTCTGTCGAAACGTCTGTGCTTCTGGTACTGCCACCCAAGTTGGTTTATTAAATTTACCAAAAGGACATTAATGAGTGCTGGCATTTTTCCCTTTTTCACTTAATTAGCACAACATGAACCAGAATTGCCTCATTAACATACAAAAGTTAAAAGACTTTATTAGTCTCTCTTCCTCCCTCAACACACTTCTCCATCTTTTTCACCCAGATGCAGGCCCAGAGTGGGGTGGAGCTGTCTGTGCTGGGTTCATGGAGTTTACCCAAAGATGGTCAGGAGGGCATGGAGAGCTTCCTCAGAGATCTGAGCACCATCTTCCCACAGGAACGCTGGCTCCAGATCAACCGCGAGATAGGCAAGACAGGCTTCAACTGCCAGATCCTCAACCGGGATCAGAGTAAGACCCTCAGACTGATTCACACTGAGTTTATACAGTGGTACTGGAGGTTTCTGCTAGCAGATATTAACTTCTTATCACTAGTTTCAGGTTATGTCTCATTGCAGAGGCTTGTGCAATTTGGAAAGAATCGATTTAATTGAGTAACGTAATAATTTTCAGGTTTTGGGGTGGATTTATTTTCCAGATGTATGCAGAATAACTCTGTGGCAAATACTTTAGTTTCTAACAAAGAAAGCTATCAAGAGTTGCTAATGAATTTATCTTTTGTCATGGCCAGATGGAAGAGTAATTCAGCAGGAAACTAAGAAGAAAAATGAGAAGGCTGAGGAGGGTGATGGAGAGGCTGGAGGTGATAAAGAAGAGCAGGAGGATGAGGAGAAGGAGGAGGAGGAGGAGAAGGTGATCTTTGTACACTATGAGCAGAGGAAGGTGATGTTGTCACAGCTCCATCCCATCGAGAACGGAGTGCCAGACCCCAAAACTGATGCACCATCTGAGCTGAGACAGGTACAAACAGAAAAAGTGCTGGTTCTCATTTGAATTCCTGTTTGCTGATTTTGGTCATGTAAGTAACATGAATGAAAATTTTAAATTCAGGATGTTTTTCTTTGAAAAAACTGGCAAAAGCTTATAAAATACAAATTTCTGAATTAGTTTTTCTCCCACACTGCAGCCTAAAATCCTGAAGGAAAGAATAATGATGCTGCATGAAATATAAACTACCAAATATTTGGCCTCTCGTTTAATGTGACATGACATGTTGCCAGAGGATGTACAGACTAAAATCCATGTATGATAGTGACTCAGATTACAGGTGGATGCAAGCAGGTAGCCATGTGTATCCCTAACATGCTCTTTCTCTACTCTGGTCCAGATGTTCCAGACAGTGGCCCACAGCCAGCCTCTGTTCTTCCTGGACAGATACGACGACGGGCCACTTAAGTTGACACACTGGCAGTCTGAGGGTCGAGAGGCTAGCATCATCGTGGAGCTGCTCAAACAAGCGTCCGTACCGCTCTGCCTGCTCATCAACTGGCTGCTCTCCATATGGACCTGGATCTGTAACATCCGGTGAGAAGGGAGGAAACTTAATGGATAAGGCCAGACATATTATATATGGTTTGGGTTTTTTTATTGTTAACAAATCCCAATTAGTGTCCAAAACCAACAACAAAAAAACACATCAACACGTCTTGTTGATGTGTTTTTAACTGACACTGATTGCTGAACTCTAATATAAATCCAGGCATTGAGAGGCAATACTCTTTAAACACCATCATTATTTTCTTTATCAAATTTTACATTTAGGCTCTTCAGTCTTTACCCACTGCGGTTCCTGTCCAGTAAGCTGTCCACCTGTGTCCAGCTCAGCTACAGAGCCGAACACATGAGGACAATCAGCTCTCGGAAACCAGCCACGGGACACACGCAGTTCATGAGGTGATTGTTGTAAAAGTGACCTAGAAACTCCCTGATGTTATGGACTTTCCTTTGCTGAAAGTGACAGTACACCTGCTGTTCATACCTTTATGTCTGTTTCTGTCTTTCTGTAGGAAAGCCAACATTGTGGTGTCGTTCCTAGTGGATGTGGCTCTCGGCATGTTGCTTATCTGGTGGCTCTATAGAGACAACCACATCACCATGTTAGCCAACACACTGGTGCCTGCAGCTGATGTAAGTGTGTGTTACAGAAATCAGACTACACAAAATGCCAAAAAATTAATCTTTTAAAAAATGACTGTTATGGCACATTCTTCCTCTTTTTTTTTCAAACAGATTACAAAACAGAACAAAAAACAGAATATCAGGATGATCAAATGATAAGGAGTCAACAACTATTGCCACTTTTGGCATCTGTTCAAATGATGATACACAATTTAAAGGATTTTGTGCTATTAATGGAAAACAAGGCTTTTGCAAGTTACCGCAAGAAAGTTTAGGTTAGTAATTTGATTTAGTAACAGTAATCAAGTAAATATTAAACCTGATGCCTCGTCAGTGGCCTCAGAAATAGTAGTTTAATTTAAAATAAATTCTCAGCACACAGTCGACTGACAGCTGAGTGAACTAGCACAAGTTGTGATTAAAAACTGAAATTGTCATTATGTTCTTTAACTTGTGTGATTCTTCCTCAGCATGTGGCTAAAGAGCTGCAGGAGCTGCTGCAGTGGCTCATGGGAGCTCCTGCAGGGCTGAAGATGAACCGGGCCCTGGACCAGGTTCTGGGCCGCTTCTTCCTCTACCACATTCACCTCTGGATCAGTGAGTCACAGCACAGAACAAACAAAAGGCACACACACTCAGGGCTTTATGTTGTTCTGATAATCTTTCTGTTTATATCTGACCATTTTCATGATAAAAAATACAGAAAATAGGACTGAAAGCTCTAAACGAACAAGTATTACACTTGTCAATGTACTGGTCAGACCTCCACCTTGATTGTCATGTTTCCATCTAGGCTACATCCACCTGATGTCTCCCTTCATCGAGGGGATCCTGTGGTATGGAGGCCTGTCAGCCTGCTTCGGCCTGACCTTTGCCCTCTCGCTGCTCTCTGACATGGTCGCCCTGCTCACCTTCCACATCTACTGCTTCTACGTCTACGGAGCCAGGTGAGACCTCAGCATACATCTAACTGCTACTTTATGTTCAGTATTTTTCACTGCTTGTCAGAGAAGTTTTATGTTTAAGAAGTATTGTCCATGTTGATTTAGCTTCTCTGAAGACTGAATCACAAACTATACTAAGAGTGGCAGCTACTAACTCATAATAGGGTCAAAGGTTTTAGAGGTTTAATAACTCATAGTTTTTATAAGTGTATGCTGAAGAGCACAGCTAGTCTGTATCTACCTGACGAGGTAACAGAAGCCGCCTAGTGGTGTAAATTTACTCTGCTTGAACAAGTGCAGCTTTTGCAAGTTCTGCAGGGTTGCATGCTCATGAATTGTTCACTACTTTGGTGTTTTGGTGTTTTTATTAGTAAAATGTCTGAAAATTAAGATGAGAAGAAATTATTGGTGAAACAGGCCCCCTATGAACTGTGAAGATCTCACGTGAAAGGCTACAAAACATACCATCCTTTTCTCTCTCATGTGTCAAGTGTGTTTTATAAGAATTGCAGCTGTTTTGTTTTTATTGTACATTTTGATGAAATCCCTCACACATCTGTATGACCTGTTCTTAGTGGGGAACACTGTCTAAATGCAGCTGCTGTGCTCTTTCTGTTGCTTATTTAAGCTCAGCATATTGACATATGATAAACTTGGGTGCTCAGTCTGAACTTGTGTTTTGTGTGAATGAAATTGTACATATGCTGTATGTACTATGCTATATTAAGCTTCAGTATACTATTTGTTGCCGTTTTTATTTAACATAGCGCTGCACAGTTAATTAAAATATTATCAAAATCGCAATATGGCCAACTGCAATATCCAAATTGCAGGACCTGCAGTTTTTTGATGAAGGTAAAATGTGTCACAGCACACCATTATAAATGACACATTCTGATGCTACGAAGATGCACCAGCAAACCATATTCTGAACTGAAGGGAGCATACTTGTTTGGTACAGACCCCAGCAAAAATCCCGTCATCATTTTTATATTTTTAAGAGATGCCAAAATGTCTGTCCAAAGATTTGATACATATTCTTTGTTTTCCCAAGATGTTTCTTTAGCTGTCTCACCATCATTCACAATTGTAACATAATAACTATTTTTAATTACATTCTGCCAACACACTACTATTCATACTTGCTTGCTTAGAATTAGCATGTTTTATTGGATTGGGACACTGTAGATTTTGTGAGATGTTCCTTTTGATGACCTGCAGGGGGCATGTTTTTCCAACCTTTCTTTTCCTGTGTTGCTCTAGTGAGACATTTTAATTACAGAGTTCTTACTGACCTGTACATTAGAGGCTCATTTGAACCTTTTTAAATGTCATTATGAGGCTTGAGTGGAGGTGGGGGCTCAAAATGACCAGAACAATGCCTTCATCTAGGCCAGGAAATTAAAATGGAAAATAATCCCCTTTTATGAGTTTCATGGCTATCTGCCTTAGGATATTGATACTTTTTATAGTCACCATAGTGTTTTTATTCACCAAGGTCTGGAGATCTCAAAAAATATTAGAAAGCATTTTCTTGGAATGATGATCATATTAAATATCATGGCATTTGACAAATAGTTATGATAAAGTGATGGAAGAATGAACCAACCATTATTACTACCATCTTTGGGCAAGATGTGAATTGTAATTTAAGACCTGGTCAGTCAAAGCAACTTGGTCCTAAAATGTGCAATGATTCTGTTCACTGGGAATTTGTTTTGGAAACCGGAAAACATACCTATGGTTTAGGAATGTAACCAAAGAATAAACAACAGCAGTAAAGCCTATTCTCGCAGCAGCACACCCATTACATTCAAATGCATGTGAAGTCATGCTTTCATTAAAAGTAGCTGTGTTGTGTTTTCCCTTCAGAGAAAGCAGATAATACCATTGTTATTATCTCTTTCATTGTATCTGGTACAACAACACAAATCATCTGAATCTGACTTCGAGAACAGGATGTTTTGTATCACGTCATTGTTGTATAACTGGGTCAGACGGTTATAAAAAATAATTAAGTGCTTCAGGTTGTTTCCTTCAGTCTGCCTCAGTTGGTGCACACTCAGTATAGAGGAGATGAGCAGAAGAGCAGTTTGCTCAAGGTGTTTGCTTTTCCTGTTGTTTTCAGGACAATATAATCAGTGATGATATGAGAGGGTAAAGATTATGAAGATTTAGCTGCCTGGACTCTTCATGCAGGTTGAGCCAAAGAATTGAAACTCCTGTAATTGTGGTGTGTTTGCTGACTGGTAGAATAACTCAGAAGCATGTTTAGCTCCATTAGAGAGTGACATTTGAACATGCATGTATAGTGGACCTAATGATCATGTAAATGGTGTCACTGGATCCATGAGAAATCAGATTTTTTTGTTTGAAATTCCCCCCTTTTCCATATTTATTTGAAACTGTTCTAGCAGCTCTAGCAATGGCAATGTTGGTTGGTCAGTCCACTGCTTTGGTTCAGACTGAAATATTTATACAACATAACCTTTTGTACAGACATTCATGTTCCCTAGAGAATGAATGACTCATACTAACTTTGGAGATCCTCTGACTTTTCCTCTATCACCACCAGGAGGCTCACATTTGTGTTTTTAATGAAATCAGCCATTGAATGGGTTGTGATAAAATGTAGTTTCCACAAAATGTGGTTTATGTTCCCCTCGGGATAAATTGTAAAAACTTTGGTAATCCTGTGACTTTCCATTTAGGGCCATCATCAGGTCAGTATTTTTAATCTGTCCAGTACTTTAGTTTATGACCAAATACCTGCACGACTAATGACCATCAGCCTCAGCTTGTCTTGGCTTGTTTACAGATGTAAACACAAACACATGTTATCATGAAAACAAACTAAATTAAAATGGTGAACATGGTGAACATTATATCCGCTAATCACAGAGTTAGGCAATATAGCTATATTATGTTGATATTTTGGATATCGTAATAGCGTAAGTGTTGTCTTTTACTAGTTTCAAAGGCTGCTTTACATTTAAGTGTTGTAATTTTCTGAACTTTTCAGACTGTTCTGGCTGTTCTATTATTTGCCTTTACACACTTACACCTTATATCCACATTACTGATGATTATTTATCAAAAGTCTCATTGTGTAAATATTTTGTGAAAGCACCAATAGTCAGACCTACAATATTTTTGCAATATCGGTATTGAGGTCTTCAGTAAAAAATGTGTAATATTTGATTTTCTCCATGTCATTGTCTAAAATGTAGAGCATTTACTGTATACTCTGGTAAAACAGCTCAAACACCGACTTCACCTCCATGGAAATTTGACTCAAAGATCCAAATATAGTTTAAACTATGTCACTTGGTTCTTGTGTTTTCAGCTTGTCAAACTTCTTACATTTGATAACATGTTGAGGCATGTATAGACATGCCCTAACATGTCACGGTAAACCTGTTTGTAGATTAAAGTAAAAGTGACATATTCCTACATCATGGCTGTAATGTTAACTCCCAGCTACACTCAGCTCCTTTTATTTCCGTCCTCTTCTATTGAATAATGACTCTGTTGAGTCTGTGGTGTGATGGAAGGCTGAACACTGTGATAATAGTCTTGGATGGAGGAGAGAGGATTGACTAAATTATGCATTTGCTCTAAAGATAGCTTGGCTCCCTTGCCCGTGGTGCATAATGAAATATTACCCACTTTCCTTGTTGCATATTTATGCACCAGCAGCTCTTGGAATATGTGCAAGTGTGTGTTTTTAAATTCAGTTTGAGAACCTTTGTCAGAGTCACTTATTAAATCTGTATGCTCTGACCTAAAAATATCTCCTGCTGTGATCACAATTCACTTTCTACATTGGGGAGGATGAATTATAGCTATCCATGTACTGAAGATTTGGCTTTACATAGCTTCTCTGTCTTTGAAAAGGACAATTTACAGCTGTTTCTGAAAAGTGGTCGATATTTTTTAAGTTACAGCTTATGGGATTTTTGTTGCCAAATTTCAGATGATACTTGTTTCTTGTCTCCAGTTTCTAACCCCAGTGTGCCCTCCAAAGGGTGACAACTCCCCTCTACATCTCAACAATAAAAATGAAATAAAATATGGCTTCAGTACATGACAATCCAAAGACAAAACTGTACAGGAAACCAAGCTGTGTAATTTAATTCTCATTTCTTCCAGTTCTATGTACATAGTTCAGTTTTTCATTTGACATTGTTTTGTTTCCCCTTTCGTCCCCATTTTTATCCGTGACGGCAATAGCTGTGGCCAGAGGCATTATGTTTTCGAGTTGTCCGTCCATACATACGTATATACATATGTACATCCAAGTCTTTTGAACACAATAACTCAAGAACAGAATTAATTTTCTTAAATTTGGAACAATTTTCCACTTGGATCCAACAATGAACTAGTTAGATTTTGGTGGTCAAAGGTCAAGGTCAGAGACAAAATTTCACACAAATGTCTAATAACATAAAATGATGAAGTGATAACGTTATATATCCTAAAGGTCAACTTCACTGTGACATCATAAACTTCTGCAAAAACACTCTTCTGTCCATTAGTAAACATCATATCTCAGGAACAGAAGGGGAGACATTTGGTCAGATACTGAATTGGTGACACTAATCTCGGTTGTCCACCTTGTCCATCAACTGTGCTGATTTTATAGATCACCCACGTTTTAGAATTTGTAGCTTCTTCACAGCAGCACCCATATTTGAAATATTGTCAGCTGTCATGGCAACATGTGAGTCTGGACAGACATGGATGTAAACTGTAACTGCAACTTGATTGGTTCGCAGAGGCATACAACTGTGTTGCAGTTGTAGTTATTTTATATTTAAAAGGTCAGGTGATATGACATCCTATTTAACAGTTTACTTTTTTATGTCTTTACTTTGTGATTGATTTAAAGTGTGCCTTAAATGTGTGCCACAGTACTATAAGAGGACATTATAGCAGATCGAATATGATTATAGAGATAACTACCTTGGTTGGATGTTTTCTTCTCCTGCTTTTTTAAAAAGATGTATTCATTACTTTGAACATGTAGTTGTCACAATAAGGTGAGAAATATGTAGCGTATAGAGCTCCTGTTGTAATCCAGCACTGAGATCCACACTCCTAAAATACTAGGCCCGTTTCCACCGCAGGAACTTCGGGGTAATTTTACGGGGCCGCAGGAACCACCCCCGAAGGACAGAGTTCCGGAACTTTTACAGGGGCTAAACAAGTTCCTGCCTCAGAGTAGGTACTCAGAACAGCCCCGAAAAACTCCTGGGTGGGGCTATGGGTTTACTTGGTGCTGATTGGATATACCCAAGACGGGATGTGACGTCAACAGAGAGCGACAAAATAGCCGGCATTTTTAAAACTCAGCATGGTCGCGCAACGATTATCACATCCAGAGCCCGGTAACTTTACAGGAACCTTCCTCCTACTCTGCCCTCTCATTGGAGACACGGCGGTTGAGAGGGCCGAGCGAGAGGACGTTCCTGTAAAGTTCCTGCCCCCCAAATAGTACCAGGAACTTCTTCAGTGGAAACGGGCCTACTGTTGCTGATTAGGATTAACTGTATGATCAGCCACTTGGTTCAATTCTCTCAGTGCATAACTAAACTCTCATATTCAACACTCCAACCCATTTCTCTCTCTCTCCTCTCTGCATTCGCTGAAGCCTTTCTCCTCTATTTTCTCCCACATTTCTTCTGTCTCTGTACACCCACTGTGGAGCTGAGTCCCAGTTTATTTCACTGGTATAATTTTGTCTATCTGCCTGTCAGGTTGTACTGTCTGAAGATCTACGGCCTCTCGTCTCTCTGGAGGCTCTTTAGAGGGAAGAAGTGGAACGTCCTGCGACAGAGGGTGGACTCCTGCTCCTATGACCTGGACCAGGTAACACACACACATGTACACACACATCACTGTCATCATAATAGAGATGCAGACATTTACAGTGTGGTTGTATCTTGTGGTGCTTCAGCTCTTCATCGGGACGCTGCTGTTCACCATCTTGCTGTTCCTGTTGCCCACCACAGCTCTCTACTACCTGGTCTTCACTCTGGTAAGATGAGTCAGGTGAAGGAGCTGTTTCTGCAGCATAAACTTCTTTTGTGCCAGCCTAGTTTCAGACAACTGAATCACAGCTCACATTTAGAGCAGTAGACAGGGTTCTGGAAAAGTCGTGAATCATGATAACAGCTCTCCACAGACACCAAAAAGGAAACTTTTCCTTGTAATAATGCCCAGATATTCTTTGAATTAAACCTCCTTGGAAGTCATTAGAAATTATTACTCACTTGTAAATTCTGTTTCCAAACTGACTTCACACTGCCCAGGAATGAAACTGTGGTAGAGAAATACCGAATTATTTTATTTAGTTAGTTAGTTAGTAAGTTAGTTAGTTAGTGGTCTAAAAGTATTTGGGAGTCTTAAAATATGGGAATATCCCCAAAAAATTTCACCATGTGTACGTTTTGAACTTAGAATGGTTGCTAAATCCCAGATTTCCCTAAAGAATAAAAAGGGCATTGAGGTGGTTGGTCATGGATGAATTAAATTGATGTCTCTGTGCAGCTCATTAACAAAATCTGTGTGTACCAATAGCTATGTAGACAATACAGACTCATAAGCACATATTTCCTATGGCTTGTTGTGGCTGAATCTAAATGGAAAATATACTCTAATGTCTCTGATAACACTTAAACTATAAAGATTATATTAAAGTTAATCTCCACCACCTGCTATTGCTTCATCATCAGCTGATAGAGACTCAAAATAACACCTGCTGACTCATATTCAAACAGGTCTGGTGTTATTTATAGGCAGTTCCCCGTTTGAAAACCAACCGATTAGGCTTGGGCAGTATGTGTTTTTTCATACCTTTATAACCTCTTGAAGTTTCACTGGGGTGTATGAAGGTATCTGTGTGTGGCACTTTATGTGTTTTTTTCCCGCGCGGTCTCTCTCTGCTGTTGCTGGTTTTTTTAGAGTCCTGTAACATTATCCTCACCACTAGCAGTCGCTATGTTTCCCAACTCAGCTGCCTGTTTACCCTTAAAGACTGGCCTCTGGTGGTGCATGCTGTGCACGACAGACAATAATACACCCTCAATACAGCATCTCTGTATGAGTTTAATAGAAAGATGAGTGTCTATTTTTTGATGGTATCAAAAATTCTTACTATCAGGATTTCTAAATACCATGGTAGACAGTAGTATCATGATACCACCCAAGCCTACAATTGATCCAATCAGAGGACAGAGGTTTGTAGGATTGTGAATGCAGATGTTGTTTACCTGTGTCACAGCCAAAAAAAAAGATTTAAACTGACAGGAGATGTATTTTTGTGAAGAAGACAGATACAACTTTAGTGGGGCGTCAGTGGCTTAGTGGTAGAGCAGGCGCCCCATGTACCCATTAGGATGGGTTTGTTTGTAACGCTTTTGTGTTCGTGTGTTGTGCAGTTGCGGCTGGTGGTGGTGCTGTTCCAGGGCGTCCTCCACCTCAGTGTCGACTTCATTAACTCTTTCCCTCTGTTTGCTGTGGCCCTCCGCATCACTCGGCCCTACAGACTGGCAGGTACATCATCTTTTATCTTGGATCCACTTCAGAAATCAGAAAATGATAGTAAAAAAATATTATAATATATGAAACTGCATGCTGACAGGTTATTCCCATAGACCAGATGATCTGGTTGTATTTTAGACCAACCTTGCTGCTTAAAATTTGCTTGTTTAGGAGGGAAATTGAGTGTGTGAACACCTAATGAGTTCATGTTAAAGCAATGTGGAAGAATGATTGGACAGATGGATGACAACATGACGCATGGTATCTGCATGTCATGTAGTATTAAAATAAAAGTTTTAAGTTAATAGGTGGATAAACAGATGGATGACATACACAGTTGAGTCTATACTCATCCTGTCCTTATTGATGTACTTTACAGAGGGTGTAAAGTTCAGGGTGCTGTGTGAAGAGCCTGGGACAGCCCTGCACCTGCTGATGGAGGTAAGAAGTGACATTTTGTTTTGGTTTAAACATCTTACATGTAGAAGTTTAAGTTTGGTTAGTGTCCTCAAGTCCTTCCACTTGCCCCATAATCAGAACAGAATAAGTTTTGCGTATTTCCTATCACCTTGACCACTGTATTCTCCTATAAGCTAGCATTCAATGCCAACTTTTAGGAGAATACAATGGTCAGTTTTCTGTTCCTGACCAGTCCATAGACTCTCCATAGAGGCATGATACTTGAGTTTATGTGTTTTTGAAATAGTGTAGATTTGTGCATTTAAATCAAACCAAAAGGGCATTATACAGAGGCTACTACTGCTCAAAATATTGGCATTGTACAGTATGACTGTACAATGCCAATACATTGTCAGTATTGATCATATGATCACACTTATACATGTTCTTCCTCAGATGAACCCTCTGAAGTGCAGCACAGTGGTCCAGACCTACCGCACTCCAACTTACAGCTGTTACCCCAAAGACTCATGGGCAGCCCTGGTCAAGAAACTGTTTGTTGGGGAGCTGATTTACCCCTGGAGACACAAAACCACCAAGACCGACTGAGACACATCAACCAGAGATGTGTGAGAGAGAAATAAAAGGAAAGATGAGGGAGCAAAGGAAAGGGAAGTGACTGAATAAATAATGAGATGGAAACAGACAGATGGAGGGAAAGATGGGAAATGGGAAACGAGGGTGAAATCGGTAGAAAGACCTTTCAGTTGCACTGCTTTCATGGTAGATGGGAAGAACGTCACAGAAAGCTGAAGCTGCCTGGTCACCATGCTTTTTTTCTGATCAACATGAAGAAGAAGAACAAAAATAAGCTAATTTTTTAGAGCACGACAGACATGGCATTATCAGCCATAAACCTGAACACCAGCAAGTAGTCATGTCCTGCTCTTTTAAGAATTTTTTATTTTGAATCATGCTGTTAAGGACTTGACATCAAGCATTTTTATTTAGTTCATAAAACTGAGAACTGGTAACATCATCAGTAATTTACTCATATGCACTGAATCCCATAAGGAAACAACACTAAAGGACCAAAACAATTCTTTACTGTGTGTTTGAATGTGGGATACGAACACTCCACATTATCAAATAAGATTTATTTCAAATCCCCAGATGGGACTTGAAAATTACACCACATGTTGATATTATTTTTAAAGCCTAAATGACCTTGTTTTCCCCTACACATCAGTGAAATCTTATCTGTTTGTATGACCAACAAGCTTTCACATGTTAGTTCATGTACTGCAGTTCACACACTGGATGTTTAAGCCCTCAGCTCAGTGTAATCAGCTATGAAACACTTAACAAACATGGATGTATTGTATGTCACTGTTGGTGTTTGTTATGCCACTGCTGATCCACTGGCTCGCAGCACTTATAAATAGTACATCACCCATCATCCAAGATACCACTTCCCACTGTCATATACAAACTCTTATACAAATACCATTTATTGTCTGAAGCTGATTTAACAAGAGAAGTTAAATGTTGAGCTAAGTTTAACTACTTTATATACTGCTGGGTATCTGAAAGGGATTCATTGCTGATTTTCAACCAGCTTTGTATCATAACACTGTTACCAGCACCCAGATTTCCTTCCTCATCTCTCAACCCAAAAGCGTCATCTGGCAGATTTTCTCTGGCTCTAGGGCTGTCGCTGAAACTACAAATTGTACTTCCAATTTTCGTACGCCCGCCACCACAAACTCAAAGAGTATAGATGCGAAATTGAGAGAGACCTGCCCCTCTCTCTTTCAAACTCAGACCACACTCAGATCAAACAGTAAAACTATTTAGTGCTGATCAAATATAAACCAAGATTCTCTTACTATATTGGCCATTTCTTGCCTAAAATGCACTATTTGGCTGCAATACAAGAATTTATGAACAGGAAGCAGGCACCATACTGTTTCCTGTATAGTAAAAACGGAGGCCGAAAAAAACTAAGGTCAAAGAGTAAAACTAAGCTGTGCTGATCAAATACGAATCAAGATTCTGTCAATGCGTTGCCTATTTCTCATCTGAAATGTTTTCAGAAACATGCTTTAGCTCACTGTTTAACTGTAATTCAAGATCATTTGTTACCAGCCAGCCGCCATGTTGTTTCCCGTGTCAAAACGGATGAGCTTGCATTACATCACCCACCAGCCGAAGCGTTTATTGATCCAGGGCAGTGCGTTGTATTCTGGTAGTTGCAACTTTTTTCATCTTTTGAGCAAAAACAAATGCCACAGTCCTTTCCCTCTGTTTTCTCTACTCATGTAGCACCAAATTTAAAAGTATTTGTTTCTTTCTACTGCATTGACAGCCCAGTTTTATGAGAAGACCATCTTTCCAGCAATGAAATGACTTCTTCAAACTCAAATAATACCTAATAACTTATTAGTTGATTTATGTTTTGTATAAATAATCTAAAAGTGCCAAGTAACTAGTAACTATCAAATGAATGTGTTATTGTAAAGTACAATATTTGTCTCTGAAATGAAACAGCAGCAGCATAACAAAAACCAACAGTCGTACCATTCACTACAACAAAATGGTGTGCCATCATCCTGTGTTGGTCACTGAGTTTTCCTGCAACACTGCCTTTAGGTTATACAAGATACCTCGTAATCTCATCGGTATATTGTCATGAAATATGAAGACTACATTCATGCTACCCAGAGTGCAAACATCTTGGTTTTAATGACCCCATGACCTTTACCTTAGCACCACTAGAGGGATTTTAGAGAGTAAGTCGTGTTTAAGTGAGTCTATGCAACTTGCTGAGTATTAAAACGTAGCAGATCAGTAGCTCAAATAAAGAGTCATCAAATCAGTGAACCGACTCAGTATTTAGCTTAAAAATTCATAAAAGAATCTTAACTAATTAACTAATTTTCCAGTCTATAGGATTTTATTAAACCTGGGTCTACGAGCAAAGGAGCAAAATCTCACCTAGTTATCAGGTATTTATGCATTAACTGAATTATTTATAAAATTTTAGATTTTATATTATTAAAGTATTAGCAAGAGTGTATTTCAAATGATTTTAACTGGACAAACTGATTTTTATAATTTCTTTCTAATGCTATTTGTTTTATTCTTTTAGAGTTTTAGTCAAAAATGAAATGATAAGTGTTTTATTTTAGGTTCATTTGTTGCCATATTTCCCTTATACACTGGACTTATTTGACTCTGACAGATGAGTCAGAGAGACAGATGTACCGTCATGCTGTACTGTGGTATAAAATGAATCATTGTAAGTCGGACTGATTCAGCTCTGGCACAGTTTGTCAGCATTTATTTGTTTTTTGTTTTTTTTGTTTGTTTTTTTATGTGCCTATTCATGTCATTTTTTATTAACTGTTCTTGATTTCTTTATAACAATCCACCTGAACCTGCTTTTGTTAACAGAAAGTCAGTTTCAGACTGAATCTTTAATGTGAATTATTCCTGTTTTATTTTACCTAACTCTTTACATCCTGCTCCTTAGTGTGCTTAGCACCAGTTTCTCATTGCTAAACTATTAAATTTGAAACCTGTTTTTTGTTCACCTTTTATTTTATCATCTCCCATGGATCTGTACTAAATGTTCCATTGCCATTTAATAAAATTCATGCATATTTAATATACTGGTGTCTCCTCTTTTCAGATGGGGCTTATCTGTTCATAAACAGCTAATGAAGTAATTGGAATAGAAATCATAGCAGTCTTACACAATTTAATCTAATCTGTAATGTCAATATGAGCCAAATCCCAGAACTGCTCCATTAATAATTAATTCCAAACAGAGTTTATGTGCTTAGAGTCAATGGGATTTATTCTGACAGCAATAAACCATAAACAATACGTACTGCTGCAGCATGTATATATCCAGTCTTATAGGAATCCTGTGACTTCCCATTCTTCTTATTATTATAGATCCAAACTTATCTGTAGATTATAGAAGTCATGCTGTACCTTAATGGCTTTCAGACAGTCACACAAATGGTGGAAAGATCTTGCAAGACTTATGATGAAAACACTGCATTACAAGTCGATACCCCCAATATTCCAACATGCTAGAATATGCCCCAACCACAGTCTGCAGTATATTGATACAGAATGTAACAAAAAATGTTGCTGTGATATGACAGGTAATCCCTTTGTCCATAATAATCATTAGTAAATGTAAATAAGTTAGACTAATTGCCATTATTGTTACTCCTTTTTCTAGTATTACTGTGTACTGCAGTTCCGCATGTGGTTTATGCAAGTGGTCTTGCTGTAACCCAGTAGAAGCCATTGCTGAACTGCTGTTGGCAGGTACAATAAATGACAAACACTGTACTGCTTCTTTGAAGCAGAAAGTAGATCTTGTTGGAAAAAGTTTGAAAATATTCTTGGATTACTACATTTTGTGGGAAACCGAAGAGCCCGAAAATGGCCCTCAGCAGACCACTGACCCTGGAGGAGCTCCTGTATGAGCTGGACATCAACTGTGCAGGTAAGACAACTTTAACTTTTATTTTAATAGTTTACTTGTTCATTCAACCTCTTACATTGCTAAAAGCCTTATCAGTGTGGAGATTCATATAATTTTTGAGTTTTAAGGTGGACAGTTCACACCATGTTATTAGGCCTGTTGGAAAACTCCAGATTTGGTGAAAACAGAAGCTAATTCACGATTTCTTGTGTAAATTGTTTTTTGGGAAGCTGTCCCCACCTTATTGCATGTATACACAGTATATTAGTGATAGATAGATAGATAGATAGATAGATAGATAGATAGATAGATAGATAGATAGAGCTTTATTCATCCCCAAAGGAAAATTTAACTGTCCAGTAGCTCATAAAAAACAACAACCACACTTCCCCTCATCAACAATAAAACACTAATATTAAAATAGATATAAAATTAAAAAAAAATTAAAATGAGTGCATAAACAGAAATTAAAAATTTGATTAAAATTGAATTAAAATTGTCCATTCCACAGTCTGGACTGGATCTAGGAGGCGTTAAACAGTCTTATTGCCGTGGGGACGAAGGATCTCCTGGAACGCTTTGAGATTGTTCAATGTGCTCCTCTCTACCACAGTTCTTAGTGGGTCAAGTCTCCTGTCGTCTGCCGAGCACTGAGCAAGCTTTTTAACCAGCCTGTCCAATCGCTTGGAGTTTTTGTCCGTCAAGATGCATCCCCAACACACTGCAGCATAGAAAAGTGCACTGGACTCCACTGTGTGATAGAACATGGTCAGCATCTCCACACACATCAAAGGACCACAGTGTCCGCAGGAAGAACAGATTTATCTCCTAAATAGTTTGATACAATGCAATAAATGTTTGACAAACTTTTAAAGTATTTCTTTATTTTGGAAACAATGTCAGAATATTTCATATATATAATACAGAAATGTGACAATCTATGACATCTTAAATGAAATAAATGTTTTGCAGTTATGATTTAGTGATTTTCATTGGACTTAAAGACACCATCTTTAAATACACATGCTAGAGTCACATGACTGTCACATGATGATACAGGTGAAATACAAAATCCCCATAAATAAATAAAAAAAATTATACAGATGCAAGTAATAAATCCACATATGTTGAAAATAGTATCCCAAAAGTTACCATTTAAAGTTTACAATTTACTATTTGTACTATTTGATCTATCTGTCCATGTGGTGACAGGTTTGGTGTGTTGTTCCTGTCCTCTATGTGTAATGGTGGATATTAGTTTAGTTAAATCATTTTGTGCCTGTTTATTTCATTGGATAAGTTGTTAATTGCTGAACTTTAACTAGGCTAAATTACAGATCTAAACATATAGTTATATCTTCTTCTTCTTCCCATTTTTAATGACAACTTTCAACCAGGCAGTTTGACATATTCTGTTAGAGGTTATAAAGTGGATTGCCCATGTTGCCTAACATGTGAGACCACAAGTTTTATTACTGAAGGATATTAACATTTTATGGGAAATAACTAACTCTGAAGACCTTTAATAAATCTGCTTAATCAACTGATCAATTAATCCTTATTTTCAAGAGCATACAAGAGTGAGCTCCAAATGACTTAAAGAAGAAAGTATGATATACTCAAAACCTGTTACCAGTTTAAATGTGCTTTACTCATAATGTTATCTTTAATGATCTCATTCAAGCTGTTGCTGCCAGTCTGCTCCATTCATTATGTGTGTGTGTGTGTGTGTGTGTGTAGGTGTACGTGTAGGTGTTTGTTCTCTGGAGATTGTTCTGGCAAAGCTAAAGAGAGGTGACTCATGATGTTACAGAAACAGATTGATACAGATAGCATCAAACTTTAATTAGCCAACGAGTGTACATCACATGTCATAATATTAATCATGTTGCCATGCAGATCCGCTGCATTCATACTGTATCCAAGTGTATTCATATCTATCCCTCACTGTTTATTTATTTATTTTTTACCTTTATAAATACAACTCTGCACTGTTCTGCTTTTTTGAATCTGAGATTTTTTTTCTCCCTCAGATGTGACAAATGTGATCTGTTCTGTGACTGTTTTAGCAGAGAAAATCACAATGAATCAAACATTTTCAACTCTGATTTCCATCCATTCATATCAGAGCAAGTGTTTGTGTCAAAATAAAACCCAGTTTTTAAGGGAATAGTCTAACATTTCAGGAAATACTAGTCAGATGGAAAGGTTGATTTGATTTTTTTTTTTATCTCTTTTAGATCAGCTTAGCCAAACTGTCATACTGGGATACATGACAGTTCTTTCTGACATATTCTAGTGCTGACTATTGGCAGTGGTGGCAGAAGTATTCAGACCTTTTTCTTAAGTAAAAGTAGCACTACTACAGTGTAAAAATACTGTTGCAAGTTAAAGTCATGCATTTAACAAGGTTAATAGGTACTGACAACCAACGTTAGCATCAAAATATTCTTGAAGTGCCAACGGTAAAAGTCCTCATTTTGCAGAATGGCACATTTCAGAATTATACATGTTTTATTACTGGATTATAGCCTAATAAGTAATACATCAGTGTGTTCCTCACATCTTGACTGAAACTGATGTTCTTCTATTGACTGGAGAAGGTTAATGAGATCCCAAATCCCCCAAGAGTGTGTCTCTCTGAAAGTCAGAATTTTACTGTAAGAAAAAAAAACATTTCAGAGCTTTAATTTAATCATGTTTTATCTAGATGATTGCCATTGTTCTGTATGTATTCAGAGAGAAATGAATCAGCTTTGTTATCCACATTCCCCTCACCATCTGCGTGTTGACAGCAGTCTTTGATAGACGTTTTGCTTAGCCAATGTATTACACCCTCGTAACTCACCGTCCAATCATATGCGTAAAGAGGCGGGTCTTTGAGAGAGAGGGCGGGAACCAGCGCAGGGACAGCAGTGGCGATCAGCCGATCTGTCAGCAGTAACGTTACATTTAGTGTTGTTGTGCGGTACTGAGGAGCCACGGCTGTGATTATGATTGAATATAATGGAGAAAAATGGACAAATCACGGACTGAGATTACTGAGTACACCTACAGAGATTTAGACTGGACGTAAAAAGGCTACGGGCTTTTGATTTCCCTGCGGATATCGGTATTTTCTGGATATAACGCAGTGAAGTTGCAGAAATCTTTGTCATCCCGGACTAAAGAAAGACAAGGGGGCCTGAAATCACACAGACGTCGGTTGAAGTTGAGCTACGGGCTGCGCTAGCTAAGTTAGCATTTAGCTTCAAATACCAAGTCTTTTTATCCAGTGGGGAATGGGGTTGTAAAAGGCAACGTTATATGTGGCAGTGTACAGCATAATGTATAACCAGTGATGGTGTCTTTTAATACGTATCGTGTCTGATAACTGCTTTGACAACGTTAGCGCCAGTGCTAATAGCTAAACTAGCTGGCTAGCTCTCAGGCAGGGCTAGCTTGTTGTTCCCCTGTTAACTTAGCCAGAGAGCTTCTCTTAAATGGGAACAAAAACACAGACTGTAGCTTAGGCAGTTTGTTTGCTTATAGAAAACATATCTCAGCAAGGATATCTGCTTATAAAATTTGAAAAGGGGCTCATTATAATTAGCATTCAAAACAATAAGCATGTTTTTCTTTCCCACATAACGTTAGACCACCAAGCCTATAAGAGTCATCCTGTCCGGATACAGCTTTAGTTAGACTTTGCCTGTGCTTTTTCTTTCAAATAGATCTTAATCTGTCACTTAGGATGACGTCTTTTTAAGTATCTTTAGTGTCCGGTTATTTATAAGCTGTCAGAGATCAGTTTGAAAGACAGTACCAGTTGTTTACATTAATTACCCCCCACCCCACCCCACCCCACCCCCACTGAGCACCACCTATTACCAATCTATATTTTTTTTCTTACCGTTACTTTTAGTAATAAGGATGTTTTGCTCTTCAGAACCACATTTTTGGCACCCACTTTGTTTTTCAAGGAGGACATTCCTGTGAGACTGGACCTTTTTTAATCTGAAAATTGCTCACAGTTTGGAGGACTGTTAAAAGTTGCCAGGCAAAACAAGGACTTTATGCTGGTGGATACACGGCTCAGCAGGTTCATGGCATAACAAGTCTTTGTTTTGAAGGGGGTTATCCATCCTTGTGTTGACGGGGGAAGTCTACAGTCACTCATCTTCAGCCCCTGGGCTCAGATGTGAGATACAATGGGCAGCCAGGGCAGCCCAGTGAAAAGCTATGACTACTTGCTCAAGTTCCTCCTGGTCGGTGACAGCGATGTGGGCAAAGGAGAGATCCTGGACAGCCTGCAGGATGGATCGGCCGAGTCTCCATATGCTTACAGTAGTGGTGAGTCACTTTTCTTTCAGCTGATTGGGAGCTGCTGGCTTAGTTTTGTCCTCTTGTGATGATGAGCTCCTTGTGTTATGTCATGCTGGCTCATCAGAAAAGTCTTGAATGTACTAGCTGTGCATTTTGTTGTGTGGACTGTGGAGACGCACAAAGAGCTCTCTGACACTGATAACACAGAGCATTGACATGGAAGTGAGTATATGGATTGTTGTTGAATTTCACTTGCTAAACAACAGTTTTCATGACCTCTGAATTTAATAACCAGACAATAGATTTTAGACCTACACTTTTTAAACACTGAATATTTTCCACCCCACATCCTCGTGTGATGGTGGTTCCTCCTTTTTCCCTTAACAGCTTCAGTGGTGTCCAACTACAAAAATAATGGAGGCTGCTAACCCAACTATAGCAATGTGCCTTGGTACTTGTATGTATTTTTAAATCTACTGTAGGTTTGATTTGAAGATTGAATTAGATTACAATTGCTTAATATATTTGTTACTTTAGAGTAGGCACACAAGCTTGTTTAACTCCTTCGACTATGCTATGAAGGGGAAAACTGGTGGAGCTGTGCCCAGTCAGATGATCCCTCCCTGGGTGCAGAAGCTCAGATCACCTGGCTCTCTGACTGCTATTGCTCCGGGGCTGACCGCCACTGCCTGATCACTGCAGCCGCTGCTGCTGCAGTAAACTGGTGGTCTCTGGCTTCTGTGCACACATACTCACACACTCCCATCAAAGGGAAGCCCCGAAGAGGAACAGATAGGGTAGGGAAAAATCAAAAGACAGTTCTTATAGGACCATAACAGTGTTTTTCTATTTAATACAAACCATATATCCCAAGAAACCATTTTTTCATAGTGTTTTATATTTTCCTCGTCTGTGTTATGTAAGTGACTTTTCCATACTTTTTATAATAAAAAGCCTTTATTTGTGGCATGGCTTGGTAGGGCTGGGCTGAATAGTATCTAATGAAATATTCTGCTTCAGTCCATATTTGTTGGGCTTCAGCCTTTCAGAAAACAACATTTTTACTGCGGTCAAAAAATGTTTGCTCTCCATTTTGCTGTAAAAAAAAATGGGAGGCATGCACTGGTATTAATAGGGCAGTCTAGCAGCAATCTAACAGCACTATAAATTACTCATTGAAGAAAGTTAAAGAGAAACTCATTTATTACAGTGGAACAAACTGAGGATTCTCTTAAGGATTCAGTTTGTTTTTTAAGGTGATGGCAGCGTAAAATATGACGACATTGATTCAAAGCTCCATTCAAAACATCAACGGTCATAGGGCTTGGTCATTATAAATGACATGTTGCTCCTGCTCATGTACATATAAGTTTGCTTTGCTGTTGCCTTACTGTTTTAAATAATTGGCAACTTTAATTGCATTTCTCCAAAGGAAAGAAAAGAATATTACATGTAAAAATACCAACAAAAAAATAAGTAGATCCATTTGGGTGTGTCACCCAAGTGTAATCGACATATGAAAAATACTTTAACTTAAATAACAACCTTTTTTATGTTGTTCATTGTTTAGTGCAATATAAATGATAATAATACATTTTATTTATAGAGCACTTTTTATATTGCTCAAAGACACTTAACATTAGTTAAAAGATAATAAAATAGAATAGAGTAAAACACATACAACATCATTCACACATTAAAAGCAGTTTTGAACAGATGAGTTTTGATGACTGATTTGAGCTGAAAGAGGTCGGTGCAGTCTCAGATGTGTATGGGGAGAGAGTCTCAGAGGGAGGGGGAGGCTATGGAGAAGACTCTGTCACCCCAGGTCTGGTGCTTGGTCCTGAGTGGTGGAGTCAGGAGGCTGGCATCAGAGGAGCGGAGACTGCTGGAAGGAGTGAGGCAGTGGAGAAGGTCGGTGAGGTAGGAGGGGGCCTGGTTATGGAGGGCTTTATGAGTAATGAGAAGGCATTATGTTATCTGTACTGGAATACCTCGATTTAGGCAACTTTAAAATTTCTGCAAATTAATTTAATAGTGTATTAGAATGAGATGAACCAGTGGCTGCACGGTAGGCACAAAACTCCCCACAATTTTAAAGCACTAAACTGCAATATTATTCCTTTGAAAACAGTGAGCAGTAATTTCGATAATATATTCATTTTGTTAATTGGCCTAAACATGCAAAAACTCATGGGCTGGTCCTTAAAGATGTGGTGAATAAATCTTGTATCACTGGAATCACTCCGATTATGCAAAATAGGTTGTTTGGGTTTTTTTAAGGAACAGTAATGAGGGGCACAGCAAAACAAAAAGAAGCGAGTACATCTTCACATGCATTTGACTCTCTTCTCCACTTTAAAGCACTAATAGTGGAATAAAAGCTGCTCAGTCACTTATTTCTTTAAGCTAAAACGTGCATGTGAGCTGCATTTGTTAAGAGATACTGTCATAAATGATTCCCTATGTATTCATTTAGTTTTTCAGATGAAGATTTTCATCTCCTCCCCTTAGGATGACAGAAACTGTTCATGAAATAAACATCAGTCAGCAGGATGAGCTCTTTTCACCAGTGCTTATCTAATGAATTCTGCTGAAGGGTGATGCTGCCTTGTGGCATTTGGCAGCAGCGTGAAGACCTTCCCAGGTCATGTGTGTTTTCAGACACCCACATTCACTAAAAGCCAAACTGTTGGTGATTTAGGGAGGGAGGTCATCATTGAGCGAAGCTACAGAGTGGTGATTGCAGACAGAGGAGAGCATCAGAGCCAAAGTGGTGCATCAGGTGACCACGGTGCGGTCACAGCTCCACCCAGACTAAAATGCCATATTGCTGCCCAGGCCTAGATGAAACTCAATTTGACACTTAAATAGCTTTTTCATTTTTATCTGCATTAGTGTGGTTGTGATTTAAAGATGAGTGGACGTCACCTTTGTGTTGAAGTTTCTGAGCACCAAACCATGGAGAACATTTCATTCCTCCAAAGACAAACTGAGCCCGGCCAAAGAGTCTCTCAAAGAGGAAGACGTCCTAATTGATGCGAACAAGATCAAAAGCCTTCAAACAGCTTCATTAAATATGGAGGGCAGAGTGGAAAGCAGCTGAACACGCTTCAGCTGGGATGTTTGTGCAGACAGAAGCTCCGCTATTGATTTTCGTCCCTCTGGCAAAGAGAGATTAGGGTGGAGAGAAGGAGGACGCTCGTGAGGAACCTAAATATTTTAAGAGTAGAAAATCGGGACAGAAGGGCAGATTTTGATTGGACGGCATTGTCCTCAGGCTATGATTGTCTCCCTGCCCGATTTAGGACAGCAGTTGGTCTGTTACATTTCCTCCACGTTGATTGTTTTATTGATCAGAAATTTGGTTCCACTAATCAGAATAGTAACAAGTCATATAACTGCAAATTAATTTTCCTTTTTAAATATGTCTGTGTTGGTGAAGGTTTTTGTGACTTCAGTCAGTTTGTTTTTGCCCTCAGGTATTCAGCAAGATGCACACTGGGATGATTTTTAGGTGGTTTTACAGTGTAGTATTTGCAGTTCTAATGTTTAATTAGTTGATTCATCACCAACTAATTGCAAACTGTTTTGTTAATTAATTAATCACTTAAGTAATTTCGGTTCCAGTTCCAACTTCTCAAATATGTGTATTTGCTGCTTTACTTTGTCATAGAGCTACAGCATATTGAATATATCTGGGTACTGGACCATTGCTTGAACAAAACAATCAATTTGAAAATGTCAACTTTGGCCTGAAAAATTTTGATGACTAATTTTTTTTACTTTTTTGACACTTCCTCAGAGCTGAAATGATTGATTAGTCAACAGAAATAGGCAACTGTAAAATTAATCGATAATCTAGCGATTAATTTTGCGATCTACAAAATGTCTAAAAAAAAAGAAAAATGATCATCATAATTTCCCTAGAGGCAAAAGTGATGTCTTCATTTCTGTCTTTTGTCCAGCCAACAGGCCTAAACTCAAAGACTGTTCATTTACTGTCATAAATAACAAAGAAAAGCAGCAAATTTTCACATTAAGGAAGCTGGAACCAGCTAATGTTTGCCATTTTTGCTTGAAAAAACAAACAAACTGAAATGGTAGATTGATTATCAAAACAGTTAGCAATTAATTTTCTTTCGATGGATTAATAGTAGAATCAACACGTCGTTTGCAGCTCTACAACTGTATTGACAATCTTACAACCGTTTCAGTAACAACATCAGATTCCAGGTTGTCCAGATTCCAGATGTTGAAGTCTTCTCCTTTTCTTTGCCACACATGTTAGTTCACTGAAAATATTTTAGTATGGGAATGTTGGCAGGGGGAAAACAAGATTGCAGTGTAAGTTGTTGGAAATTTGGAGTGACATTTTTCACTACTTTCTGACATTTTATGGACAAAGCAATGAATCAGCTAATCAGAGTGAATCACAATTTACCAGAGCAGAAGTTGATTTATTTGAATGGAAAAAAGTAAGGATAGACCAATACATCGGCCGGCCGATATATCGGGCCAATATTTGAGTTTTTTACTTGTATCGGCATTGGCCGATACGCGCGTGGGTTCGCGGATTTATTTTTCCCTGGCACTTTTTTTCATTTGAAAGTGTGTGGTTAAGTTGAACAAAGCTGTTGAATCCTACTGTGTACAGTAGTTGTTGTTTTATTTATGTTTCAGCTTAAATATTTGTTTATTTTATAAAGACATTACTCAAAGATTTAAGAGCATTGAACTCTTTTTTTTATTTGAATGTATAATAATAATAATAATAATAATATTCTACCTGTTCTACCTCAACTTTCCATCTTGTTTTAGTATTTTTTACTGTTCAATAAATGTTTCTTATTTTAAACTTGAGACCTGTAATATTTGTTATCATTGTTTCATTTTTTTTTATGTAAATTGAGGGAGCAAAAGCAGTATCGGCCCCAGATATCGGCTCAAGAAAATCGGCAGTCCATAATCGGTCATCGGCTAAGGGTGATGGAAAAAAATCGGTATCGGTATCGGCATTGGCCCTAAAAAATCCATATCGGTCTATCCCTAAAAAAAAGGTTCACTATCACAAAACGCTGGAGCCAGTTAATTTTGTTACACCCTAAGAATTAAATATCTGACAAATCAAGGTGCCTCATGGCATATTTATAAGTAGACTCACAGGTCAGTCTTTAGACGCTTTGCTTAACTAAAGACTGATGACTTTCTCCCTGATTTTGTGTTTAGATGGGCGGATACAATTTCAGAGTTTAAAAAAACTCCCTACGTTGCAGAACCAATAGTAAATCTGCAGGGCGGTCCTTCAGTGGCTCGCTGAACTCTTGTGCTAGTAAACATAGTCCGACTGCGTTAAAAGTTTTAAACAAAGTTGCTGTCAGCCCTTCATTTTCACAATCTTGTAGACTGAGCACACGTTTGATAAAACGGAGTTAAATCACTCGGCATCCATTTTCAAGCTCTCTGTGTGTTTGTTTCCTTGCGGATGAGAAAAGGGGGAGCGCACATTTCCAGGAGGGCGTGTCCTTTTAAAAAATGCAAGGGGCGTTGCTTTGTTGCCGGCCGTTTTCTCCAGTGTGTTAAACACACTTTAGAAAGGAGTGTCCCCAGACTATCAGAAGGCGCAGATCTCTGATTGTCTGGTGGCAAGACTAATTTATGAGTTACTGTAAAGCATTTCTGCACATTAATTTCTGTGTTACTTACAATGGCCTAATATGTCTAGAGATATTTTAGAGATTGCTTTCTCAGTATTGTTGGTATAACAGAATCTCTGTTGTCTCGCTGCATGTATCTTTATATTAACTAACCCTAATTGATACTAAAGTGGGCTTTGGGAGGCTTTAGGAGGGAACATTGGTCTGTTTGGGTTGCAGATAATTTCTAAGGGGATCTCCAGATAACTTTTTCCCACTGTGATAAGGTTTTAAATTTCATAGTCTGTTGCTGTTAGCCATCAGATAACATCAGGCTTGATGGGGTGAAGCCAATTAAAATGCAAAATTGAAAAGATGCATTTGAGTGCAGCTGGCAGACAAGTGAGACTCTTAAATCTGTTTTTCATTCAGCAACAATGGGATATTCCCCAGGGGTCACGCAGGCACGGCACTCCATTGTTTCCCTATGGCAATGGACTGGCTGTTTTGACAGTGCCATATCCACAGACAACAGTCATTGCTGGATGCATGCCAGCTCAGAGATAACCCCCTGTACTGCCCTCCTGAAGGAGAGAGGGTTTTACAGTGTGTGTATAAGACAGTGAATTGATAGGTAAATGAAAAGGTTAACCTGGTCTAATCTTCTTGAAAGATGCACAGACACTGACTGTTCAATATTACCACAGAGCTTAGCTGTAACTGTAGTTTCACTGCTGTCAGATCAGATGTTCTGCACTCTCCTCTGTATTTCTTTTCCTCCCTGTTTCATTTTTTCCCTCACAACATCTATATGTTTTTCCTATTCACTGGTCATATGTTTGTGTTCAAATAATTTAGTAGATTAATTAAATAGACATACCTTTCTGGTCAGTGTTTCCATAAGTAATATATTACATAGAAAGTCAATAGAGAAACTAATACTAGGAGGATTTCAGCCATGTCACCCACTCCAAGGCTTACAGTGACATAATAACATCATCTGAAACATTACCACATAGTTAATTCAGTGCCTCTCTGGTACAGCCTCAACAAAAGATGAACATTTTAAGCCTCGCACAGATCTGAGTGCATCCAAAGAACAAACAAAGTAAGCTGACTCCCGGAATAGAAGCAGCAGTGTTCAGCTAACACGTCAGAGACATCACAGAAGCTATTGATTATCTGGGATATCTAAGTGAGCCCTGGCAACGAGAGGAGAGGAAGCACTTGGTACGAAGTCCCGCACTCACTCCAATTCAATTAGGTTAGACTGAGCTCAGCACTTTAGCTCGGCAGCAGCTTTATGTTGCCTGGAAAATTGGAAGATATTGCTAATTTTGTTAGCCAAGCAGCTGCTACCTGCCAGAGGCTGATGCAGTCATGCGTGAGCGTCTGGGAACTGGGAAGGCTCGCTCTTTGGCTGCCCTGTTTTTAAACAGTACTGAGCTATTGATGCCTGTTTTTCCCAGCAGTCTTAATGTTTAATGTTAAAGCTGATGGTTTCCAGTTAAAAGTGGTCTCTCTTCAATAATACGTCCATTTGGTGGTGGTGCATAGGTTTGTTGAGTGTGGGCATGAAGGTCAAAGCTAGATGTGGAATGATACATTGCGTGAAAATTAGTCAGTGTCGCTTGTCAAAAAAAAAACAAAAAAACAACAACTTGCTTGTTTGTATATGTTTCTCAGATCTGCTGGAAATGCAACTTACTTTTCTCCTTTTTACAATTTAAAATAATTCATAGTCAAAATAATTATGAATGAATTATGAATATCATCATGAAATCATTCTTTTCAGACTTAGCGAGTGCTCATTATTTAAGTTAAGGTGTTGATCTATATTTACGTCATTGCCAACAATGAAAAGCCCAAAACTAACAATGTTTAATCTGTTTCTCAACACTTTCTGACTTTGTGTCTGTGGATCTCAGCTCCAAGCCCATTGGGTTCCTTCTGAAGACTCAAATCTTTAAAAACAACTCGCAAATACATAGTTTAACATTTAAAAAGGGTCAGCAATTTCTTAGAACAGCCTCGTAGTGTAGTTTGTATCAACCAAAACGAGGGGATTGTGTTTTTGTAGGGGACTATTTTCAGTGGTGGATTAATACATAACAGTGTGGCTCATTGATGTATTTTTAATGGTTTTTAGACAACAATGGAGCTCTGTGCCGCAAAGGAAGAAGATACATCAGGCTTTGGAAACACATTGTACTTTGTTGTTGTTCTTCTTCTTGTTTTTTAATTTGTTGAGGATAAAAATACATATATAAAAAAATGACCAGCCTTCCTTTGAGAGCAGCCAGTAAACACAAAGATTTACCATGTCCTGAACAGTTTAATAACTCTTGTCTTGATGGAATTGACATTAAAACAGCATGTAACTGGTTAGCATGTTGAGGCACAGTTCTACACACTCATACATAAAACTGTGGAGCAGAAGATAAACATCTGTAAGGGGGTGGAAAACACTATTTATCCAGTGGTTCACCAGTTTGGCCCCAGGTGATACCAGACTCACTGAAAACCACAAGAACCTGGTGAGCAGACTCAGGTGAACATGTCGAGACGTGGAGCAGCAGGGCGACAGGTGTAGCAGTCAGACAGGTTTGTCGGTAGTGAGCTAAGCACCTGGCCAGAACAAAGATCTGTTCCGCCTTCTTAAGACTACCAGCTCAAATCCCCTTTCCATATTCATATTGTAGCCGGATTAATTTTGGAAGGTCTGGACAGCAAAAAAAAAAAAAAGTCTCAGTCAGGACACTCTTGCCACTTAAATTGAAATTCAAAGTGTCTTCTGCATCACGAGCAACACATAACGACAACATCAAATCCAGAGTAACGGAAGTGCTGAGCAGAATGTATGCTTCCTCTAGCAGAGCGCTACGCAGGACAGCATGTAGAACAGTCTGTGGACAAATGCTGATATAAATTGAAATAAATAACTGCAACTTGTTTGGTAGTTGTGTGGTAGGCGAAATGATAGACCCTCATTTTGCATGTTTTGAGTGGGAAAGCCACGTCACCAGCGTTGCTACGTAGTTACTGGTGCCTACGTCACAATATCTACTATGGGATGGATTGTGATGAAATTTGTTTCAGACGTTCATGCTCCTGTCAATATGAACTGCATTAACTTTGGTGATCCTCTAATTGTTTAATCTAGAGCCATCCTCAGGTCAGTATACTTTGGTTTATGTCCAAATACCTGCAGACTTAATGACATTCCCTGCAGCCTCAACTAGACTTTGTATTTAGTTCTAAACTAACATGGTCGCCACTGGAAACATTATACCATTAGCATTGTTAGGTTGCCATTGTGTGCATGTTAGCATGCTGATGTTAGCGTCCAGTTCAAGGTATAGCCTCTTGATCCACTCGCAAGGCTGTTGACTCTTAGATGTGCTGTTGGTTGGTTGAGTAGCAAGGGCAAAATGGCTCATTTAATATCATGGATTTCATATTTCAGCCTTGAAATTGAAATAAAATCGAATTAAGAAAAAAATAAGTCCAAAGATTACAGAGTAGACATCTTAAAAGATTCTGCTGGATTTTATTAATAGGTCTTATATTGCATTGTTATTAGCAACTAAATAAATATGACATTGGTATTTACCAACCAAGAATTAGGTAGAAATTAGAGAGAAGACAGCCTGAATTTCAGAGCAGGACAGACACTTTGAAAGGAGGAAGAACAAGCAGAGGTTATTCTTCACTGTAACTTAGCGATGTTGGTGAAAAGTAGGAATGGGGAGGGACTCTGCCTAATTGTTACCTTTGATGAAAACAAGTCAAAAAAACTGATGTGATAAAAATGTTATTTTCAGGGCAAGCTGAAAGATCTCCACTGTGATATATTTTGTGTTGTCATCCGTAAATACACAGTTGTCTTATTTTTCAGAGCTAATCACAGTTCTCTGTGGTGTGGTGTGGAAAGATTTTCACTGCGATTCAGTTTAAGTGGCTCAAACAGATGATGAGTCATTTTATTGAGCATCAGCTTGTCTCTGACTGCGGTATTGTAATCTTGATTGATGTTGGCCTTCTTGATGCATCTATTTGCCTAATGCCTGCCTCTGTCTGCCCTCTCTCTGTCTAGGTATCGATTATAAAACCACCACCATTCTTCTGGACGGGAGGAGAGTGAAGCTGGAGCTTTGGTAAGCACACATCACTGCTGAACCTACAACCTGCTTTTGTCTGTTCAATAGAGAGAGGAACTGCTGGTCTGTTTCTGGAATGGGCTTTTAAATCTAAACTCGAAATAGTATTATTCTAGACCTCCCAGACATTTATGGGTTTGTTAAGCCGAAGTATTATCATCTTGTGGTGTCAAACCATGAAGAAAGTTTTAGTATTATCTGCCCAAAGGTTGAGTATCTCTCTGTGAGATTTCTGTCTCAAACCTGATACAATGGAGGTGAAAGGAATTTCGAATGTGGTGCTCACAGCTTTGACAAATGGCTTTTGAACAATACAACTATCTGCCTGTTACTCTAGATAATGCACATATAAGGGTTTCAAATAGGTTTGATATAGTGTCAACACGGGATCAGACTGGTATACCAGATTTTACCACTAGATCTAGTCACACTTGACTCAGCAGTCACTCCTGGCACACTATGTCCTAATGGCAAAGGAGTGTCCGATTATCACTTCACATTGCATAACATGGGAGCTCTCTGTCCACATTAAATCTGTTAAATATGCACTTCTGTTACGTTACGTAAACAAACCAAGTACCTATCAGTCATGCGCTCGAGATCAGACTGGAGAGGTAACCTCTTAAAAGATGGGTAAGTACTTGCTATCCTCCTATGTTTGAACAGAAAACATATGTTTTATATTGTGATATTTAATGGAATGACGTACAATGTAGCCAACAGCAAGAAGCCTAGCTTGTCATTTACCAGAAACTTTCATGCTCCTTGGCGCTCTACCGTGCATTAAGAGATGTTTTTTTGGGAATACAGGACTGTAAGAGAAGCCCCGTTTACAAACAGACCTAGAATCCATCTCCTCTCCTCTCCTCTCCTCTCCTCTCCTCTCCTCTCCTCATTACCACACATTACCTTTCTAGCAAACAAACACAATGTGTGCAGGGCACCCAATAGCTCACCTAGTAGAGCATGCACCCCCTGCACTAAGGGTGTGTCTTTATTGAAGCAATCAGGGTTTGATTCTAACCTGGAGCCCTTTGCTGCAAGTCACATCCAGTCTCTTCCACCTTCCCTGTTACTCTTTGCTATCCTATCTAATAAAGGCAAAAAGGCCATAAAAATATTCTTTAAAAAAACAAAACAAATGCAAACACACTGGCGCCGCATGTTGCCCCTCCCACCTCTACTGAAATTCAGTCTCTTTAATGTTGCCGTCACCGGCCCAGGCTCAGCCTGCACATGGCCTGTTAGACACTAGTGGCTCTGTTAGTCAGTTATAAACATATAACCATGATATTATGTTAATCATCTTGTCATATTGTTTACTACTAATGCAATACAAGTTGGATTTAGCGCCATGACGCTTTCAACACAGGTTGCTTATGTAGGCTATTTATAATTTGCCAGAACGTGTCATGATGACAAATGTCGGTTCAACCAGTTTGTATTAAATCAAACCGGGTCAAGTTCGTACACTGGAACAGACTGGCAAAACTGGAAATTGACCCAACTCTACCACAACCCTACACAAGGACTTTCTCCAGTAGACAGGACTCTCAAGGAAAATGGTCACAGAAGTCTTTGGATTATCTTCAGTAACTGGTAAAAATTGAATACAGTTTTCGTGGCTTTTAGCGTAGACAAAATTTCCTTCACCTCAATGTATTGTATTAAGATAAGATAAAACTTCTGTTGATCCCCAGTGTCAAAGATGCAAAAATCAGTGTGACATATTAACACAATATAATATACATATTTTGTTATTATATTAGTATTGGATGTGAGATATACCGTAGTCTAAAGTGAAAGGTAGTCACGTAGTTCAGCATATAGTTCAGTGCAGCATTTTAGCATACTGTAGAATAAAATAGAATAGAATACTTTATTATTCCCCTGTATTATATTTGATGAAATGTATCATAATATTTAACAGAAAAATGGGTATAATATGATTTATAACCAAATAAATCAACATATATAGCGAGGTATATAATAAATAATAGTCAATAGACAGAAATCTCGGCAATTACATTTAAAAAAAATTTATGTCTGGAGACCCCTTACTTAAGGTATGCGAGTGTAAAAATATGTTCACAAAGAATAATATGCATTGACTTTGTGTCTATGGTGTTTGCCTGTGCTGTGTTTGTGTGACAGACTATGACTGGAACTCTCAAGTCTCTGCTTTTCTTGTCCCTGTACATTCATGGAGTAGATTCATAAAGGCTCCAGGATAAGCACACATTTTTTGATCAAACTGAAACACTTTCAACTCAACCTGACGTGTCTCCACCTCACTTTGTGCTGCCCTGGGCCCGCTCGCATCTTTTCTCGCGTTTAAATTTCTCCTCGTGTTTCATCTGAACACACCTATTGTAAATCGGGCACACTAACCCTTTAATTTGAAATCTCTCTGACGTGCTTGTGGTCCGGTTGTTACAAACTCACGCTGTGTTACCAAAACATTGTTCAAACCCACAAAACTTAATTTAAAATTCTGGTTGAGATCCCAAAGTTTCCAAAGATATCAAATATGTCAGGCTGAATTTTGGGGAAATGTGTATAAAATAAGTGCATCTTGAATATTTCAGCTTGATGGAAGAGTGCAGTCTCGAGTCTGAATATTTCACTCAGTGTAAACATCATAGAGCGCCAAAGAAGAGCTGGAACAACATGATACAGAATATATCTGAAACTGGCAGACAGTGAAAGCTACTTAAGGGAAAAAGGGGAAATGTGCATGTCAAGGGGTTACATTTACATAATACACATCACATTTTAAAATTGGCAAGTGAGATGCATACATAACTCAAAATACAAAAATACACTAAGTAGGACGTATTATATAATGATTGCATACTTGTGCAGAAACAAAACAGTTTGGCAGATACATCAAATGATAACTTTTAGATATTATATAATATCCAAACCAATGCTTTAGACATTGAATGGCATACAGTAAAAAAAAAAATATACCAAGCTGTAAGGTGCATGTACTTCACTGCAAATGTTGTAGGTGCATCTGCTTATTCACTGCATATTGTTACATGCCTCACAAATATTCTTGCATCAGTAGAGATGCAGTAGATGTGTGTAATTGTCAGTTAAGACACACTGCAGTGCTAGGCGAGGCCTGTTTGGTGGAAGTAGGCCAAGGAATTCAACTCCTCGGGGGAGAAGCAACGCCTTGTCTTCCCTGTGGAGGGAAAAGTTTAAAGGCAGCTCTATGATGCAGAATCTTCTTTATTTTTCTGCCACAGTCATTTCTCCACTCCTCGCTGTGTTTTTTAGTGTTTAAATGTTGTCTTGTCTTCTTGCTCACACTGTTTACCTCATCCTCTGCTCCCTTTTCTATTTCTGTCTCTGTTGCCATCTTTGTCGTATGGCAAAGGAGAAGAATGCAGAAACTAAAGATATTAAGGGGTGACATCCTTTATTTTTCTTATCAACAAATCCCATGTGCAGTGCCAAACAAACACAGAATGTATTTAACTAACAAATATAGTGTGTGTATTAAAGTCTGATAAATACATGACTGTCAGAGGAGCCCCGTTTACAAATAGACCTACAATCCATCTCCTCTCCTCTCCTCTCTCTCTTCTCAGCGGAGGGTGCCCTGTCAGCCCTGCGCTGACAGTGACAGGGCGCATCTCTTTGATCTGAAGTGACACAGCCCGTTTGCTCATGCTTCGGAGTCGTTCAATAGAGTAATTGCAAATAAATATTGTTTTAATGTGTAACTATTGAAATGTTCACAAGGGCTTTCGGCTGCCGCCTTTGCAGGTTAAAAGTTAATGACAGCGACTTGAAGTGAGGAGGAGCAACACGTCTGTGTTGGTACCGACACCGCTGCGCTGACAAGCCGGAGACGCTCACTTTCGCATGTGATGCAAAATATTAAAATAACGTCATCATAACACAAAAAATATAAAAATGCGGTGGTAGGCCTAGGCTATAGCCTATACCAAGGAAATATTCGAATATTATTCGAATTTTTAACATAAAAAAGAGGGTGAAGATTGACAGCCCTAGAACACACACACTGTAGTTTATTCTGACTCAGTCTCACATACACCGTCCAGCTGCACTTAATATTAATAGAGCCCCAGATGTGGATTAATCTGCTGCTTAAAAAAACAGTCCCCAACAAATGCACTATTTGGAATGGGGTTCAAACCCCGGGGTGGGGGAGCCCTTCTGTGTGGAGTTTGCATGTTCTCCCCGTGTCAGCGAGGGTTTTCTCTGGGCAGTGTGGCTTCCTCCCACAGTCCTGAGACGTGCAGATTAGGTTAATTCGTGACTCTAAATTGCCCGTGGGTGTGAATGTGAGCGTGAATGGTTGTCTGTCACTATGTGTTGGCCCTGTCCAGGGTGAACCCCGCCCAGTGTCAGCTGGGATAGGCTGCCGGTTTAACTCATAAGCTCTGAATTTCGCACAGAGCCCTTTTAAATGAAACTAGCCTTACCACCGACTTTTGGCCAGTCATCAGTCACTTAAGATGGGGGACTGCATGAGTCGTATTTCATTTAAATTTTTGGTCATTGTGAGCCTCAATAAGTGGGTTGACAGTGAAATAACAGAGATGGGGAATGAAATAAAACAAAAGTGGACTCTATCCAGGGACATTGTGATTCACGGTTGGCGCCTTAAACCCATAGACCACCAGGGCGACCCCTCTTTGATTGTCTTTGACCAGGTGATGGCCTACGAATGATTACCATCATTAATCCATCATCTGGCTCAAATATTGGTGTGCTGGTTTCTGAGGCACCTTTTATTTAAAACTGATATCAGCCTGTCAGTTTTATCCAACATCAGTGTGACCAGTGAGCATAATTTAACTCTGTATTAGTCATTCATAAAGCTACACCTGCCTTAAGAATCATAAGCATATAGTTAGTAGGGAAGTAATTTCTGGTAGACTGCATAGTAGATGATTAAAAGATGATTGTCTCTCAGATGGTAAATAGTAAATAGACTGCACTAGTATAGCGCATGTCTTGCCTTCCAACCAATCAAAGTGCTTCTACACTACAAGTCACATTCACATATTGGTGGCCCAGACTATCATACATGGTGCCACCTGCTGCTCTGTAACCATTCACACACACACTCACACACACAGATGGAACAGCCATGGGGAACAATTCGGGATTCATTAGATTGCTCAAGGATACTTGGGCAAGGGATGTAACCACCAGTCTCCCAAGTAGTGGACAACCAGCTCTACCTTCTGAGCCACAGACGCACTAGATATCAACATCTGTCTGGATGAACAAACAACTGGCTGAGCTTTGCTATTTATTTCTAGACTGTAAAAGCAAAGCAGTTGGTCTGAAATTGTTGTTCAGACTCTCCACCAAAAAAATAGTTTCTAAATCTGAAATGCAAAACAAGCTATGAAGTTGTGAAATTGTGCTTCCTTTTATATCTGTAACGCCTGTTATTAAATAGTTGTTCACAGGGTTTGGGAGTGTAGAGAGGCTTGTCAGGATTTGTCAGGCTTAGTTAATCCTCAGTTATTCTCTTGGTGAAAACTGGAATCGCACAATGTAGACGGGCTTTGTAAGGCTGATAGTATGTGTAAGCTAAATATTATAAATTAGGATTTTATAAATCATTTAAGGCAAAAATGGCCATAGAATAAAGATATGACTGAAGAACATGCAGAAAAAGATACATAGAGTACTTTTACATTAACTGAAGACAGTATAACTAGCTCTAAACATTTTGACTGCTGTGTCATATTTTATCCCTCACATATTTGTTTATGAAACTGACCCATAGAAATGTACCACAAAGATACCGGTGATGAATGTAAATTCTGCTCCTTTGGGCCAACACGTGAAAGTTTAATCACCTCTGCTGAAACTAAGGAAGTAATTTTTTTGATTGTAAAAGTCAGACCAGTTTTCAGGCCAGTGTTTTTTCCTCAGGGCTGAAGCCTGCTACTTTTCTAAGGAAAGGCTTTGCCTCATGGCAGCAGAACAAATCTGACTTGACTAATAATCCTTCTTTCTGCCTTTGCTTTCTCTCTTCAGGGACACGTCAGGACAGGGGAGGTTCTGCACCATCTTTCGCTCATATTCCCGCGGGGCTCAGGTGAGAAACAAACAACTTAAATAGACTTAACTGAAAACAAATCCACTCCGCTTTAAGTAAACCTGCTTGACTTAACCCAAAGGTCCAAGCTTTGGTTATAGGAGTCACATAAAGCATGCTGTTGTGTTGACTGTGTTAGTCAAATGCAAATTTACAAACCAGCTACTCTGATACTCTGAGACTTGCTGTTGATTTTGTGTGTGTGTTTGTATGTGTGCGTGTGTGTCTCTTTAGGGGATTCTGCTGGTGTATGACATCACCAACCGGTGGTCCTTCGATGGAATCGACAGGTGGATCAGAGAGATTGATGAGGTGAGTGCGGGAGATGGATTGATAGATGAATAGATGATTGATTTGACAGATGTTGGTCATTTTGGGATTATTTTGATGTCTTTGGGCTCAATGGAATAGTTCACTCAAAACCAATATAAAATGTACATAATACTCACTCCCGTATGCTCTCTATGGTCCCAGAAAAAAGGTTATAAAACATCTGAAAAATGTTCTGAAGATTCCTGTGCAGCATTATCCAAGTGTCTTGTATCCAATCGTGGGCTCATGGAAATCCAAAAACAACTACTTTCGCTAAACAACTGCTAAAGCATAGTATCCTCCAATGAAGGAATTTGTTATTCACACATCTGCGTGTGTTTACTCGCTCAAGCTTTGAATTGACAATCCCTCTACGATACAATTCAAAGCACGAGCAAGCATGCACTTTCCTTAACACCATTTCATGGAAAACTTTTCTTGGACCATAGAAAGGCCAGGGAGGTGAGTACTACATACAATTTATATTGTTTTTGGGTGAACTCTTCCTTTAACTCAGGTTTTCCCATTATCACAAAGTCGTCTCACTTTTAACCGGGGTAGATCAACATGGTAACCTATGCTGCATGGCCAACCTGTTCTAAAGGATAAGATTAAAATCTGTCAACAGCATGCCCACTGACCAATCACATCACTGGGAAAAAAGTGATTAAGAGCAATAGAGATCTTCTTATATATCAATGGAATCACTTTGCTGGAAACGGAAATCATGTTAGAGATTATTTTTTACACAACCCTGTTTCCATTCTGGCTTTAAACAGATGCTTCTATCAGAGGGATAATTTACCACACCGACAGCCATAATAATGGCACTAATAGCTGCATATTAATTGAGCTGATTTTATTTCCGGGGTTCCACTCCGTTTATTGATGGCTTTTACCCAAATTTAACTGGGCCACTTGATATCCAGCTGTATGATGCAGTTATCCAGCATCACCAGTGTTAAGCTCAATAAAGCCAACAAAGCCAGAGAGAGCCAGACTAAGAGTTAAACGTGCTTTGTGATACAGGTTTATTGATATTGTCTAAAGTGATGATTTCTCTCAGTTGTGGATCAGTTTGGATCTTTAAAATAACCTTTTGCAGACTAAGCTTTTACTATGAATAGACTGAATTTTTTCGCAAGAGGGCAGAACTGATGGCACCAGAAGAATATAAAAATTAGAAAAATATTTTATCTATAAATCATCATCAATCGAATGAATTTTTGTTGTTAGTTTTTTTTCCTATTTTATTGCTGCAGCAATCCAGCTGGATCGTCTAATGATGCAGCAGGTTTCATGGACGATTGATTTGATTGTTTTGCTTTTAGACTTAATGTTCCCATTTATAAGATGGGACAAAGGGTCAATAGAGGGAGTTAAGTGAATCACTTAAGACAACCTGTGTGTGTGTGTGCGTGGATGTGTGGGCTACTCTCATCATGTCCTTCCTGCTGACTGAGACACAAAGAGGATGTCCGAGTTTGTGTGTCCGTGTGTGTGTGTGTGTGTGTGTGTGTGTGTGCGGCGTGATATTTTTGGACTGTGGAATGTATGTTTCAGTTTGGCCTTTCCTGCTCCACCTCCACGGACGTGGTGTGGTTGTCGGACACTTTTGAAGGACAGAAATAAAGTAGAGATGGAGGGATGAAAGATTTCTGGATGTTGAAAGTTAAATAGTGTGTAGAGAGGTGCACTGTTAAGGTCAAAATGCCCTTCCTATATTTCAGTTCGTGGGGTTAGGGCAACTTCCTGAAATAGTTTTTTTCAAAATCAAATACAGTGAATTTGTTTTGTTTGCAATTTTTGCTCAATAACTTACTTAAACAATTACTCAATAATCAACACTGTTGACTTCTTTTTTTTGTCAATGGACTATTGTTTGGGCATTATCTCAGTGTCTCAGTGCTGTGGAATTATGTAGTCGGATCAACAAAGCACAGCCATTATTCTGAAATGATTGGCTGTTGATCAAAGTGTCAGCTGTAATTCATTCATGTCTCTCACAGTGACAAAAAACATACCCACTTCTGTTGTTATCCAAATACAAAAACATAAAACACGTCACTTTTTACCAGCTAATACTTAAACTTTATTGTCCTCAGAGGGAAATATGTCTTGCAGCCTGGTGAAACATACACACATAAACCTTAAACTGAGGTAGGCAGTTTAATTTTGGTGTCATGGGGCAAAAATCCCATAATAAACTTTGAGTAAATTGTAATTCAAGTGGTCTTGGGGAGAAAACTAGACTTCTGCACCTCCTCTTGACTCTGTTTTCAGGCTTTAGAAAATCTGGCTAGTGACAGGAGACTTTGGCCAATCACAGGTCATTTCAGAGAGAGGGCATTCCTATTGGCTGTTCTACAAATGCAGATGCACTTGCACGTCCCTTCGGAGGAAGCCTGATTCAATGGTGGAGAATCCTGCAGAGAAAGTTGCTATCCCATCATTGGCAACAACTGCCTACACTGCAAAGCAACCTGAAAAAGGAAGACAGACTTATAGACTTAAAGAGTGTCTAAAAGAGGGTCTGATAATAACCAAAAATAAAATGTGTCACTATCAGTGAAGTGTTTCAGAGATGGAGAGAAAATTAAGCTAATGGTTTAGCCTTCTGCTAACCAGAGCCAAAGGCTCACAGCTGTGGCCCCACTTCAACTTTATGTAGCTAGCGTTAGCTAGAGCTTCAAATCATAGTGTAGAAGGACAGCGCGCAGCAGCTCCAAAGATGGGTTACCTGTCAGCAGCTGCAGCAACCCAAAACCAGCCAGGGAAAACCCCAGCTCCAGGGGACCAGATAGCCTTGACTCCCTGCCCGATCAGAAAACTTTCTGTTGCTGCTGGGACCCATGTTAGACTCGGCACTGTTGCTGGCCACCAGCCTGCTCTGAAAGCTGGTGTTGGGGGGTTTGTGTTGGCCAAATTCAAGCTGCTACAGCTGGTGTTCGCTCTCCTCCTGGTGAAGCAGTCAACAGCAGTGGGGAGAGAGATGAAAGGACAGTGGGGTGGCTAGCCAAGCTTGTCTCATTTGTAGTCTGATAAAGAGAGAGAGCTGGTCAAGGCGACGATGAAATAAAATAATGTATTGAAAACACTGGGTTACTGCATGAAGTGATTGCGTGTATCTTTTTTTTTTTTTTTTTGCCTTTTCCAGATTTCTGCCTACCAAAGCTTTAAAGCATATAAGATACATAAAACATTTCATAAAAATATGTCAAACATAACTACAAAAACTAAAAACCTACCACATTAGCTTACATATAACAAAAAATCTATGATAGCATCAGTACTCAAAAATGTGAGAGTCATCTATTTATTACCAAAGATCTTACTCGCCAGTGGCAAAGTACAAAGCCTAATGCTTGTAGAAACCACAGCTGTTACTGTTTCCCCTGTGACTGCTGCTGCTGCTGCCAGTATAAGACCGACCTCGGTGTAGAGACTCTGAGCATGAAAAGGCAACAGGGAGAAAAACTGTGAAGAGAGGCTGATGAGTGGTGACAGTCAGGGGGAGTGAAGAAGGAGAGAGGTTGGCCTTTCGCTGCCATCATGTTTCATTCAGTTTGTCAGGACAGATGGGGATGAATTAGAGAGACCTGAGCCAGAGTGGCAGGACAAGATACATGCTGCTTCCTGGAACTTGTTGAATTAATAACAAGCTTCCGTTGGTCACTGTGTGTGAGCACAATGTCTCTTAGTCACTTTCTATCTCTGACTGAAGCTTTTAATCAACTGGAGGTACTTTGTAACTGAGATTGTTTTAATGTAATCAACTTTCCTGTTTAAATTATTTTTGAAAAGGTTTGGATAAGCTGTATTCATTTAAACACCTCAAAATATTTGTGGATTGGGAGCATGAAAATAGTTTGTAATATTTGAGAAGATGTTTGTTTCAGCTATAAATTAAGCTTCATGACATCTTGATAAGATTCCACATTTAAGACATACACAGATATCTCAAGGCAATCTTGTCAGTAACTATTAAAGGGTAACTTTGGTATTTTCTAACCTGGACCCTACTTCATGTTTTTGTGTGTAAGCTATTAATGGGAGCAGCAGCTTTTGAAATTGGCCCAGTATTGAGTAAGAGGGCTGCAGCCAGCAGCAGCGAAACAGGCTTCGATCCTAGTGGACAATTGGGTACCATCAGTTTACGTCCACCAAAAGTGCTTGTTCTTGCCATTGACATGCTCGGATTGTTATTAGTGTCTGACAACTGACAACATTATGGAAAGGATCCCTATAGAGATAGACCTTTTGTTGAGAAAGTATAATCTTTTTCGTTCAACCACAAACAGACCTGAAATCGCAGTTGCCAAATACACCAGACTCCATTTAAATAAAGCTTAGCCTGCATAGAGCTGTGGAGTTGGTGATTGTTGTAACAGTGGAAAGACTAACCAAGATGGTTCCTAGGAGTTTGAATGAGGTGTGTTTACAATGATAAAATTACAGTTTATTTAAGTTTATTTGGAGTCTGGTTGATTTGATGATAAGAGATTTCAGGGCTGTGTCTGGTTAAACAGAAAGGATCTTTGTCTTTGACAAAAAGGTCTATGTCTGTAGGGATCATTTCTATAATGTTATCAGATGCTTAGAAAACCAATCTGAGCCTGTCAGTGGCTAGAATAAGCACATTTAATGGACGGAGGTTGACAGTGCTCGGTTGCCTGCAGGGATTACATTACAGCCTGTTGCTGCTGCAGCAGTCTCGCCTTAAACAGGACCATTTTCAAAAACTGCTTATACAATTCATAACTTAGACACAATACCATGGGAAGATATGGTCCAGGTTGAAAATACCAATGTTACCCTTTAGGATTTCTTGCTCTGGAACAAAATCTTTTAGAGCAATGCTCTATTAACAGTTAAATGGACAAATAGACACAAAATATTAGGGACAGCCAGAGTTAATAAATAAGAGAAAAATGTCACTAAAGAAGGAACATGCTCAGTGAAAGCAAGCTCAGACTGGCAGAGAACAGTTATTGGGAATGCTTGTAAAGTTACAGAGAGGAATAATTGTTATGATGTTAAACAGGTTTGAATGTCAAAACATGTCACTAAGATGTTAAGTTCATAAGTGCAACTACAGATAAAGGTTAATTCTTTGATTTTTTTTCCTTCCCAGCATGCTCCAGGAGTGCCTCGAATCCTCGTCGGTAACCGTCTACATCTGGCCTTCAAAAGGCAAGTTCCCACCGAGCAGGCAAGGGCTTACGCTGAGAAGAATGGCATGACCTTCTTCGAGGTGAGCCCTCTGTGCAACTTCAACGTCATCGAGTCCTTCACAGAGCTGTCGCGCATCGTCCTGATGAGGCACGGCATGGAGAAGTTCTGGAAGCCCAACAGAGGTGAGTGGAAAGGGAGCCAGGGTGAGGAGCAGTGGGTAGGTAGACCAAAGAATTAATCATTAGAGAACATCAACCCATTTTCTTCTTTCTAGGGGGGGTAGGGGATCCATAGAGATAGCAGGTCAACAGGATGTGCCACTGAGAAGTGGTATACATTATCTGAAAGATGGGAACTTGAAGATTAGAGATGCAGCTCAGCACAATGTGTTAAGTTTGTCTAGTCATGAATGAATTTCGGTTATGCACCTATTCAAATTTTGAGCACATCCTAACTGTTCACTTCCTTCGACAGTGTTCAGCCTCCAAGACCTCTGCTGCAGAGCCATCGTGTCGTGCACGCCGGTCCACCTCATTGACAAGCTTCCACTTCCAGTTGCCATCAAGTCCCATCTTAAGTCCTTCTCCATGGCCAACGGCATGAACGCCGTCATGATGCACGGACGCTCTTACTCGCTAGCCAACCCGGCCGGCGGCTCCAAGGGCAACAGCTTGAAGCGCTCCAAGTCCATCCGTCCACCGCAGAGCCCACCACAGAACTGCACCCGCAACAACTGTAAAATCTCCTAATTAATGGCTTTCTTGGGGGCAGGGCGGGGTCCATAAGAGACAGTAAATGACAACATGGGATCAGGAGATGGATTTACAGGATGTAAGTAGTTTGAGGAAAGAGCACATCCCTGAACATGAAGAGCTGATGAGCAGGAATGATGGATAAAGGGATGAATGAGTGCTACCTCTCACCTTCATGTTAAACAGCATGAAGTACTTTCCAGAGGAGGGTACTCAAATGGTGCCTCAGGATATCGGAGGATAAAGACTGCAGACTTTTTGGTCTCCACAGACCTGAAACTCACTATTACCAACTGCAAAAATGAGAGAAAGAGACTCCACATTCACTGCTGGAGTTTATACTACATGTACAGAAATCCCTCACCAACTCAAGCCACCGTATTTAATTCCTCTACATGATGCACGCCTCATTGTGTCAGTGCATCACAGAAATCACCTCAAGATCAAATCCTCACTCTTATGTCTCACATTTCTTTCTTCTGTCTGTCTGGTCATAACCCCACCTTTTTCTGTCCATGTCTTAGTTTATTTGCTTTTTTAATGACCAATAAGCTAATGATCAAGACACTAGTAAACGGTCACCTGTAATAATCATTTTTTATCCTCAGCTGGCAGTAATGGTTGTTTGGACACTCATTGTGCTTTGGAAGTTAATTTTTTTTTTAAATTAAGTAACGCTGACTAAAATGGAAATCTTGGTGACAAGATGAGTGAAATTTCCCACCCGCTGTTGTAGTTGAAGTGGAGGCCTTCAGGCAAACATTACTCCCCTAAAATCCCCCAAAAGAAGCAACCTGAACCAGGACCTGAATCAGGTCCAGACTAGCTGCTGTGCCTAAGTTTTCTTATAGAGTGTTTTTTGGGTCATAAACAACGTGTAAGCTTCAGCAACACATGCTGCATTTTTAATGAGCCAGCTTACCTGCAACAAACAGGCGTAAAGCACCAAATCAACCCAAGATTCACAGATGAGTCATATTCCCCAGTAACCAGTTTTCACATTAGAGTTTTAGGTTTCTATTATAATTCAGTGGTTTACACAGCCGCCTACTTTGACGAGGGAGCCAATGAGGCTTGTTGCTATGGATACCACTCAACGCTTAAAAAATAAGCAGCCTATTTGAGGTCTCCATCTTTCTGTGAAAATGTATTTTTAACTTGAGAACAACAGTCGATGGGCGGAGACTATATTTGTCACATTTTTCAACAAATCCCATTGGAAGCTCTTGATGTTGTGCTTTTTGGCCCAAGAGCTTCTGGGAGTCGTAGTGTGGAGATGGTGAAGGAAAGCATACATCTGCATCACCCAGAGGTGCTGGCTGGATCTAGGCAGAGATTAGTTTTTACTGTTACTCCTTCCTCCTCCTTTCACATTTCTCTTTCCCCCTCTCTGCCTCTCTGCCAAATGTTGAGGGACACCTGCTCTTCATGATCTCTGATTTCACACCTCATCTGTCATGTCACACCCATGTCATGCAGCAGCAACATGTACACACCACCACCTGTCCAGGCTGATTCATGTGACATACGTACACACTCAGTTCTGTCTGCTCCCTCATACTGATACTCCAGTGAAATTCTACGTTTTAAAAAATGTCCTCCTCTGTGCACATTATGACGCAACCAAATTATGTAGAAATAGAGTGTTAAGTCATATTTTTACGGACAGAATAAGTGTTTGAACTAGAGCTGAAATGATGAGTCGATCAGTCATTTGTCAAAATGCTAAAATATCTGCTGTAGAATTTTAGCCTTTCTCATGCAAGGATTTCCTGGTTTTATGTTTTTAAAAAACAGTTTTAAAACTGAGAATATTTGGTTTTGGGCTGGTTGGGGAAAAATATGTTATTTGAGAATGCCTACTGAAACTAACTGTTAAGGCATAATAAGGCAATAAGCTGAAGATACAGTGGACAGTAGAGAAGTTTCTATAGACAGTGAAGGCTGGTCATTTTGGGAATCAGCTTTATAATTACAAGACATGAATCTAAACAACCACAGCTGCTATTCTCCTGAAAAAAATAAATCTACAAACTTAACTTTTTAAACCTACAGAGGTTGAGTGTTTGACAGTAAAAAGATTTTGGGTGCCATGTCACTTTAACTATTCTCTGCTAAATTTTAAAATCAGTAGGTAAAATGGACACTGTTGCCACACTGTCAGTTATAGTATGTCCTAACGTGCTTTCCATACATTCATTTAATTGTTAGAGGTGGAGCGAGCGTGAGCCTGGAGGGAAAGGAAGCGCAGATATCAGATGATGGCCAGAGTGACAGTGAAAGGTTTGATGAGCGGAGACAGAAACCAGTCAGTGTAGCTGGACAGGATCATGTTGTGTAAAGTGGGAAATTTCACATGTTGACAGTAAACAGTGACCCGTGTTTATTAGTTTTCTCTAAATGTCACTCACTCCCCTTCATGACCAGCTCCGCATCTCCCAAAGGAGCAAGCTGCTGGTTTATTTTAAACTTGACTGATATAAGTGATCTGTGACATTGAACTATTTATAACAAATCGACAGAGAAGTAATCGCCAACTATTTCGATTTCTTTTATATTTTCAATTAATTGTTTAAGTAATATGCCAAGTTAAAATATAAAACAGTTGCTGTTTTAAACATTAGGTATTCTGAGGATTTAAAGCTTGTAATAGTAAATGGAATATTTGGGGGGAGTTTGGACTGTTGATAGGAAAAAGGAAGCCATTTGAAAACTTCACTACAGGTTTTAGGAAATTGTCATGGGCATTTCTCACTATTCTGTGACACTTTACCGAACAAATGGCTATTTTATCAATTATAATACTAATATTTAAATGTCTCATTAGTTGCAGCCCTTATTATCTTCCTTCCAGGCAGCCAATAGTTTTAGTTCATTTCAAACAAACAGGAGGAAATGGTGCGTTTGTCTAGGATTGTTTTCAGCTGCGGATTAATCCACTTTTGCTTGTTTTTTGTGGGGCAGCAGTGGAACTCTGTGGCACAGAGGAATGAAATTTATGAGGCTTTGGACACACTCAATATTTGTTAATAATGCACTAGTTGTGTGCTAGTTTTGGACTTTTCATGAGAATGTTCGGCAATAAGAAAAATATAGAATATCACCGGTTTGGTCTTTAAAATATGAGCACTATTTGTCATCATCATAAGAAAACAGTATGTTTTTAAAACATTAGCAGCCACATGTTTTTCCTTCATGTCCACTGCATTCATGTCCAGTGGGAAACGGCAAATACGAGTGGATGAGTTGTAAATACTGTTTAACAGCAGGGAAACATCTGCTCCAATGTATCAGTCACTGGTGTGAAAAGGTAATCAAACATGTTAAGTCTTCCGAGTCACTGCTTTTTAACTACCAAACTGCTCCGACTGGATCTCCCATAGGAATGAATGCAGCATGTCTTCTTCTTCGTCTCCCTCTGATCTGCACCACCGCCTCCGCACGCTGTCCCATGATTCATAGCTGCTGAATAATAGATGCTCTTTTCATAGATCTCTTGAGGGCTTCATCAGTACGCCCCGGCTCTGCCTCTCCCTCGCTGCTCTTTCATCCTCCACTCAGCTCAGCGTGGTTTGTTTCTTCGTCTTCACCAGTAGTCCTCCTCAGCATCTGCCTGTCACTGTTGTTTCTCTATGATATAGAGAAAGTGCTGCTGCTTGCTTTCCATTTGACACCACATTTTCGGCAGGTGTTTACTGTGTTCTTCCTCCTAAATCTGGCCCAGTCCAGTCAGCTCTGTGTTAATGGAGTGCGTGTTTGTGGACTCTCCATCTGTCTCCCATCCTCTTTTGCTCGGTTATCTCAGGGAGTCATCTTTGCCTTTGAGATATCTTGACTCACGCGGTAAAGCCTCCTCGCTTTAGGAAAGATTTCCACTGATCCAGAGTGAGATTCCTGCAGCGTAATTCACACCAAGCTATTAACTTGCTTTAACCCATTTACTACAAATGATTTATTCTTTACATCAGTGTTTTTTTATTTTATTTTAAGACCTTTTAGGGACCTAGAGAGATCAAATGATTTTGTAATTTACTACAACAAGATAAAATTAGAAAAGGAATGTGTAGAATTATGCTTTTTCTGCTGTTATCCATCTCACAACTTCAGATGAATCAGATAAGTTTTTTTTTTTTTTTAATCAGATATTTGTTTTGAGGTAAAGATTACTTTCATCAAAGTAAAAGTAGTAATGCAGAGTAGAAATACTCAATTACAAGCAAAAGTCTTGCATTCAAGCTCTTACTTGAAGAAATAGTCCTAATTTTTTGAAAAGGAGTTGATTGACGTTCTTACCCAGTTAGTGTATCACCCACAGTATATGTCAGTTGGCCTGCCCCCAATCTAGAGAAACAGGCGGTAGTACTAACATGAAAGCTAAGCAGTGCACTGCTGTGGACAGGGGTAGCAGCAAAAAGTACGTTGGCCCCCTAAAAAAGTGCCACCATTAAAAAAAAAAAAAAAAAATCAGAATCAGTTTAAGTGTACACTATATTTAGAATATTTTCACTGCTTTACCTCGTCATCAGACAGTCCGCTCTGACAAGTATACCTCTCTTCAAAGCCACCAGACTAATTTTACCTCGCAGAGCATGAGAGTTGCTGGTCTACCGCTGCCTAGATTGGTTAGCTTGTGTTAGTTTTGTGTTATTATGTGGCTTTGGTGAATCTGTACTAATTCTTTTAAACATGTACAACCCCACTTCTAAAACATCTGAACTTTCCCTTTAAGTACAAAAGTAAGTAGTAGTTCAAGTCAAAGTATCATTGACTTAAACTACCAAAAGTAAAAGTACTCATATTTTAATTGTAATTTATTAGTTGATGTATATTTTGTATTAAGCTGAATCTGCAAAGTAACTAAATCATTAAGTTACATTGAGTACAACAGTTCCCTCTGAGATGTAGTGGAGTACAAGTATTAGGTATAAAAAGAAAAGTACAGGTACCTCAAATTGGTGTGTAAGTACGTTACTTGAATAAATGTACCTTCCACCACTGGAAACCAGCAGCTGCAATAAAGCTAGGAAGAACACATTTTTTTTTAAATGGGGAATGGTTAACAGTTACTTTAATTTGTAGTAAATGGGTTAAAATGTGTAGAAACACAGTTCAGTCCTTTTAAAGAGGGTAAAAATGAACTGCTGTACCCTAACAGGACGGTTTTATTCATGGCTACACTCTCTACGTGTCCCGGAGTTTAAGGCTGAGACAGAGATTTAGAAACAGCTGATGCTCATCAGACAGCTCATGCTTTATATTAGCGTTTGTTTCGTCAGCATCAGTGTTTTAAGAAAGAAGGAATTTGACTCAAGCTTGTTGCCAAGATTTTCAGAAGACGTTTCCCACTCTCTGATGAACAGGAAAAGGCTTTTACTGTTGTTGCTGCTGCAGACTCACAGAACATAAAAACCTTCACTGGGTGTAATGATGTTGTCATATTGTACATCCAGCCTCTTTGTGTTATGTGGTAACACTCAAGCATTTTCCTCCATGTTTTGGTCCTGCATCTCCTTTTGTTTTTGTATGGACCTCCTCAGTGTTTGTTGACTCTTTGTAGAATTGTTTTTTTCCCAAACTTTACATTTTTGATTTTCATGGACTTTTTTTAAAAAAGATTGAAATGTGTGTAGAGGATGGTGGGAGATTCAGGGACACCCTCTGATATTGCCTGTTGTGGGGGTGTTTGTATAAAGGAGCAGACTGTTGTGTTGATGATGATGATGATGATGATGATGGTGGTGATGACTCGGACAAAAAAAACACTTGTAAAACACTATTCTGTTTTTTGGCTAAAGCTGCTGAGTATTCTGAAGTGAGTGTGTGAGAGTGTGTGTGTGTGAGAATGTTCTTTAAACACTAAGCTGAACATTTTTCTTTTTTTAAATTATTGATTGTACAGTTTCAAGGCAAGGGTATGAAGAGATAAGACTTTTTCACAATAAAACTATTGAATGTTGGAGTCAAGATGTCTCAGCTGATTATTTTTATGTGACTATTTGTAGGACTGCTGCTTTTAAGGAGTTTGGTGTTGTTTTTGTGGTGAGGCTGCCATCTACTGGAAGTTGCCCCATTACATTTCTCTTCTAAACAAGATTTGCTCATGGACATCAAGACAATTATCTCTCTTTGTGCAGATATCAGATGAACAGTCTTATCAGATGTATCTTCTTTTATTTAAATATCTTATTTGTTTTTTTTAATGGCTAAGGACTGTTTTGACATACATTTTCAAAGTTAAAGGATCATCTAGCCCACAGGGAGTTTTGGGAGCTGGTGCTGGGGCTTCCTTGGTCACAGAATCCGGGTAGTCATCCCGGCCTGTGTGGTCCTACACATCCGCACGGAGTTTCCTGACGCCCAAAGCCACTACACAGGTTTCAGACCGCCCCTCGATTGAACCGAGTCACATAGCTGGCAATGGCCTCCTCCTTGTCAGGCTGCTCCAACTGTGCAATGAGGTCCTCTGGAATGGGGATGGCCAAAACAGCATCTGTGTACTGTGTCGGGTCAACAAAGACTTTTTCAAATATGAGGTCCACCATGTCAGCCACATATCCTGTTTGATACAACACAAAGATTTAGTTTACATTTTTAAATTTTGTTTTATGAAACAATGACTGAAAGTCTGTTTCTTAATACCTCCTGACATTGGACGCTTCATCTAAATTGTTATAACATGTGAGTGCAATACTTACAACAATACTACAAAAGATATTGTTTGGTTGAAAAATGAACACATGTAACACTTACTGAATGTTGGTTCAGTCTTAACTGGCTTAGCCCTGCATTCTCCCTCCATGGCTTTTGGGAAATGGACCTTGAAGAGTGGTTCGCCTTTGTTGCTTTGGCCTTGTGGTCGGTCAGCGTTTTCATTATAGTACATGGCAGCCAGGTAGAGTCTGGAGATACCATAAAGAGTCAAAAATCATGGAAAGACAACATTCTTTTGGGCAAAATGAAGGATGACGCTGTGGAAAGCCTCCGCAGATGAAGTCTGGTGGTGGGGGCTCAGTTTTGCCACATCCTTTAGAGTCCTTTTGTTCATCAGCAACTTCTTCAGCTTGTTTAAGGCAGGAGTTCCTAAACACAATAAAAATGTATATTTTACAAAACAATATAGTAATAATTATTCATGACAGTATTTGTGATGAGTTCTAAAAGCTTCTGAATCACTAGGTGTGGATACCCTTATATGTTATATAATATATATAATAATAATATATGATCACTAGTTATAACAGGATGAGTCAGGGGATAAGGTTTTAGTCTGTACATTAGTAACACACCTGCTGAAAGCCATTTCCTCCTCCCTTGTCTGGTGCAGTGGGTGTTGACACTGGGGGAAATGAGGATCTTCATGTGTATGGATGTCTTGTATATGGTTGATGATTGAGGTCCACTTTGCCACTCTCTGGCCCAGTGGCTGAGGAAGCTGCAGTCCAGTGTATGTGGTTCTTGATGCTTCTCATCCACTTCTGGAGCTTTTCACAGCCTTTCAGCTTACTGATCTTCTCCAGTTTCTTTGAAATTCCTACAGTGCATATAAAATACATTTATATCCAGTAAAAAGCCCTAAATTGCATGATATGTTAAGTGCTGCATTTTAAAATGACTAAGTCTGAGATACCAACAGTCTCAAAGCATTACACTGACTGTAAGGACTGAATTGCTACAATGTACTTTTTGTAAGAAAAAAACTGATCACCCATGCAGTCACACAATTTTATGTGTTCATACTCATGTTTGCACATGAAAATTAGGAAATGTACTTTTCTCCATGAGCGAGACATCGTAGTAGTGGGTAAAGTTGCTCTTCCTGAGGAACTTCTGGATTTGTGGATGACAGTCGGTGATAATGCAGTCAAGAGTCACACCACGTGCATCCAACAGTGTCAGGCTCCTCTTCAGGCCCTCTTTCTCCATGTGGAAGCTACCACCCACCTCATTGCTCTGCCACCCCGCCACAAAAAATACAAATACATAGTATTGGTAAAAGCCAAATGGACATTGAATTGCAAATTTAAATGAATAGCTGTGTTGCAATTTGATTTCTTCTTACTCACCTGAACCAAATGGATATCCACAACAGTGTTGGTCTTGAGCCATCATTGAGTAAATCCCAAACTTTGCAGAGTGACCTGTTAAAACAGTGTTAACAGTTGTTAATGCCAGTTGTTAATGCCACTCTCCCTTTAACCTCACACAATATCAAACGGCTGTGTAAACTTTACTGTTCCAGTAAAATATAGATACCTGCAGAGTCAGTCCTCATGTCCCCACCAACTATTACTTTGTCCTCCTGACTGAGCCGCTGCAGCATCACATCCTGTGAATGGTTCCAATGGCAAATGACTGCTGGCTCAATGAATGTGCTGGCATGCCGGCGAAAGGTGTCATACTGGAATAGCTGCAGCTGCATTGTTTTGAAGACCTGTTGGTAGATGAAACGGACACAAAAGGTTTCTGTTGCCTGTAATCTGATCTGAATGGACTTTGATAGAGAAAACATGATTACATGCCATATTCAGAGACTCTGAGGGAAAGTAGTTCTTCGTCATTTACCCTTTCAATTTTGAAGAAAGATGCTCCACTCAAGTACACAGCTGCAGAAAGGTGGAGGTTTCCGGCTGGAGTGCTTCTGAGGACAGGCTGGCTATACCAACGTCTGTAGAACTCACAATGTGAGCACCGCTGCTCCACAGACAAGAATGTCCCCAGGACACACAGCAAAAAACTCCATAATGCAGTTCTCATACACTATGTATTTGTTGATCTTGTGGCTGGGAGTGGATGCTTCTTCTCTATAAAAAGATTATAAACATGTTAGGAGCACTCAAACAGCATGAGCTGTGTTCAGCAGTGTACCAATGCTGTAAAACACAGCAGTGCTGCAATAAAAACTGTTGTCAAAGAGGTTATAATATTCAATTTTTGTCGTTTGCAGTGCGGTTGAATTGTACTGCAATTTACAGAGAGGTTGATCTTTTACAAAGGCAATCCCGCCAGTGAAAAACAAAACTTCACGTCAGTATAATGTAACAAATTTTAGCATGAGCCTAAACTACATCAGAAGATGAACATGCATCTGTCTGAAATTCATTCATGATGATCATGATAATCGATTTTATTGCAGGACTGTTGTATCACTCTATGCTAGTTTCAGCAGGTAAACTATCATCAGCACACACGCACTCGCACACACAGATACATTAGAGTAACTTACAACAAAACTGTTGACTCTGTCAAGGCTGTGACAGAGTCTGCATGGTCATTGGTCGCATCTAGCCCTTGTGAAGCTGCCACTGGAGAGCTGCCCTCTGATGGATCATCGTTGTCTTCCTCCTCCTCCAGGTCCAGAGCAGATCTCTTTGAAAGTCTTTTTCTCTTTCTAGGTATTGATGAAGAAGAGAGAGGATCATCTGCGAATGTCCCAACACCAAAATCCTTGCAGGACACAGTAGCCTGGACACCTGTAACCCAATATAACTCTTATTAAGGAAACTCTAACAATATGACACACAAACACAGAGCAATATGACATTATAAGTGAAATTATTGAAGCCTGGCAAGAGTAAAGTGATTATTAACTCAATTAAAAAGTTGTTCCTGTTGTACCTGTACTTCTGAAGTGAGGCTGTAGAGTCCTCAAGGATAACTGTGTGCGTGATTCCTGTGGGTCAGTCTGGCATGCAACATCCCTTGTTGCAGCAAACTGTACGGATGCACTTGATGTGCTGGCCTGTACAGACGAAATAGAGGTTACACCAACATCTTCCAAAATGTAGATAAGCATATCTATCCAGCAGACTAACAGACGGTAGGAACACACGTCTCAATCGGTGCTAATTACAACTATAGCCATAAAGTTACCTCACATGAGGCTGATGTTCACACAGTTTCTCTTGAACGTCTCCTAATATTATTTACTCCAGTGTGTTAGTCTGTATTGGAAACTAATGCACTTGAAACTTACACTTGTTAGCTATTTTGCACATTTTTTACAACCTCTACCTCACTTCTCACTGTGTTGTGTACATAATTGATCTTTTTTTTACTCCTGCAATTTTGATATTTTTATTTTATTCCTGTATATTTCTCTTGAATATTTTTAATTTTAGAACTACTTATTTTTGTATACATTCTACATATCTATTATTAGCCACATTAGCTGCCATGCTAACAACACATTCAACAGCCATCATGGTATTCACAGTAAAGCAACAAAAAATGGTCAAACTTACAGCACCCATGTTTTCAGTTGGGTCACGGACAGTCGGTACGGATCCATGCTTTATCTTCAGAAATGCATCGAGTCCTGCTTTGTACTGGCTCTCGTTGAGAAAGCAGTCCATAGTAAAATGGTTACCACACACATACAACACTTTAGCAGTTGTTGTGGGTACATTTCCATCAAAAACAAAATGAATCCACTGGGTCCTCAGGTCCTCAGGCGTAGGAAGTAAAAACAGGCTTTTTTGTCCGCTTGTGCAGCCAACAACAGAGCAGCTGGCGTGCTTTGCTTGTACCTTTGACGTTGTTGTTTTACTGGAGCAGGTGTATCTGAGGAATGAAGGGGGGATTCAATAGGTGGAGCAAACACCTAGCTGGGGGAGTGTTATTTCCCCGCATGGTTTCCTTTATTCCCCCTCTTCCTGCAACTCCACCTCCCACCAAAGGCCTACTCCCTCCTCCTCCATTACATCCTAATTACGTCTATGATAGAGTAGGCGTTGGCAAGGTAACGTTTCAGAAAAGGAAGAGCCACCACAGACAACATACTCCGACTATCAGAAGACATCTACAAAAATTTCAGCAAAAACCAAATAACCCTTGCAATATTTTTTGATATTGAGAAAGCATTCGACAAACTCTGGCACAACAGACTCAGATACAGATTACTGCATTCCAACCTCAAACCCACCCAAGCCATCATCTCAAACTTTATTACTAACCGACAAATCACAGTCAAAGTAGCCACAACCACCTTTAACCCCCCAAGCAGGAGTTCCCCAGGTCGCAGTTTTAAGTCCACTCCTCTTTCTGTTGTACATATACATTTACTACCCCCCAGCCACCATAGCCCAAGTCTCACAGTTGGCTGATGATCTCTCTTACTGCTCCACCTCCAAATGTCCTAAACTCGCAGCCAAGAAACTTCATACATGCATCAACGAAACAGAAAACTGGTCAAACATGTGGAGAATCAAACTCAACCCTGGCAAGACACAATGCATCCTCTTCACCAAAAACCCACACCTGCAGCCAAACACCATCAATCTAACACTCTGCAACCAGAAAATAAATATCAGTAATAAAGCAACATTCCTTGGACTCACTTTTCAGAACAACATGACCTGGACAAAACACACTGACAACCTGGAACAAAAAGCAAACAATAGACTCAACCATCTCAAAGCCCTCTGCGGAAAGCATGGCGCATCACCCTCCACAGTAATCAAAGTTTACCTATCATCTTCAGATACTTCATCAGCAACCATTACATACACAGACACCATAACAGGCATCAAGACTTTAAGACAAAGACACCAAACAATAGCACAGAGATATTTGAAGACAACATCCAATAATCATGCCCTCCAGAAAACCATACAGGAAACAGACCTAAGAGCTGCCACCCCCCTGTCATTCATTTTACAGTTGGCCAAATCTCCCCACCCGACCCACCATAACCAGTTATCAGTCTACACACATAGAACACTATTCCACCACTGCTGCCTAACATCACCTACATGCACACGTATATTTCAACATTAACAGACACAAGTCTTCTCTCTCATTCTTAATTTTATTCCCTTTTCGTCTTTTCTTCCTCTTGTTTCGTGCCTTGGTCCACATGTGTTCTCTAACGTTTGAGGTCCTTTTGCTGCTTTTGCCTCTGCCATTAACCAAGCCACCAACGATGGACAGAAAAGGGCAGAAGCCCTGATCCAACCAAGCTCATGACCCTCTATTCGCTAAAGTAACGTTAGATACACGGAAGAGGAGAGCGAGTGTAATACGCCAAGACAAGAGCAGAAGAGAAGAGGATCAAAGATATTTATTAACAACGAAGTGAAGATTAGCCAGCATTACCTAATTAGCTGGAGAGGTCCACTAGAAATATGCTAAACTAGGTCGGGTTACTATAACGTTAAAGTTACAACCAGACAGTCAAACACAACCCCGGAGTTTTAAAACTCAACCAGAGTCAGTGATGACTGATGAGTTTTACATTAGATAGTAGCATTAACATTAATAGTAAGTGTAAACGCACAAGGTCAAGGAAGATAACGTTGTTTCAGAGGCTACGCTACAGTAGGCTAACGTTAGCCATTACCACCTGGGTGCTGTGCTGTCATATAATGTTATATGTTATATTAGAATCAATCAATCAATCAATCAATCAATTTTATTTATAAAGCCCAATATGACAAATCACAATTTGCCTCACAGGGCTTTACAGCATACGACATCCCTCTGTCCTTAGGACCCTCGCAGCGGATAAGGAAAAACTCCCCCAAAAAACCCCTTTAACGGGGGAAAAAAACGGTAGAAACCTCAGGAAGAGCAACTGAGGAGGGATCCCTCTTCCAGGACGGACAGACGTGCAATAGATGTCTTACAGAACAGATCAGCATAATAAATTAACAGTAATCCGTAACAGACAGGACCGAATGCAATGATTGGCCAGAGTTTTCTTAGAACCGTATGAGAATGGTACAATTATGAGTTTGTATCTCAGGTGGAATTCACTTACATTTTAGTGTGCCATCAGCTTATTAATAGAATAGTAACCTAAACAAAGAAAAGCGTACAATATCCAGAAAGGTAAGTGTCGCTTTAAACAAAGCCACACGTTGCAGGGAAGAGGTTGTCCATTCTGTAAAGTTTACGAAGAACACAACAGAATAAAACGTGGCGGCAGCGGTGCAGCAATTTAGTGCCGCGAAGATGACGAGTGCTGTTTGCTAGCTTGGATGAGACTGGCTAACCAAAACATCACCACGCGTGAGCGTAGAAAACAGCACACTGCGGGATGGAGGGACTGAAACCTGCAGCAATGTTGGGTCTGGCAACCCTGAGCCCTATATATATATATATATATATATTAAGTAGATTTCCAAGAACTTCAATGAATACACGTGGAAATTAAGATAGAACAAAAAAGGTACAATTAAAAATTACCATACCAACGCACAGTCAGACTACATAAACATAAAAAAGAGAAATATAATTTTATGCTATACAGTAATAGTTTTATTATACATTGTATGTGCGTGTGTGGGTGTATATGTAAAGGTTTGTATGTTCTGTATTGTTGTAATATATATGTATGTATATATATTATATCTTCTTTAAGGATGTTCAGGTGTAGACTGTTTAATCTTTAATATGATTCGTTTTAATCAAAAGGGAAAAAATCAGTTTACTCCATCATGTTGAAGAGTTACGCTATTATTTTGAAAATAGCAGGCTCTGACCGGAAATACTTCAAGGCAGCTGAACACAAACGCTAACTTAGCAACAGTCAAGCATTGCATGGCGAGCCGCCGTATTCACAACCAAAACAGCGTGTAGAAACACTGGATATCAGTCAGGTCCGGCCTGTAAACACAGCCGAGTGTCTGTCCGCATCATGTCCAGCGTTCAGCTGCTCAGAGTTCTCGTTAACGAGCGGCTGTCTGCGGCCGCCGAGGAGATCTTCGAGGCGGTTAAAAAAACCATCGCAGGCTACGAGGAGGAGATCCTGCTCTCCAAACGGGAGATCCGCCGGCAGCGCAGGATGCTGCGAACAGTTTTACACCCTGAAATAAAGATAAACAAACAGTCAGGTTTGTGAATTATTGGCATGCATTCATCCTTTCACCATGTCTGGCTCTGACTATGCAATGAAACGCTATCATCACGAGCCTCGTCAACGCCCACTTTTCTGGTGAAAATGAAGTGGTGTCAGAAGTATTTGGTCACTTTAGCTAAGTTAGCTTAGTTCCGTCCTCTTGTCTTTCCTTGTTAAACAAACTGGTAGCTAAATTTGATGATTGCAAAACCAGGTTCATTACCAGGTTATCATGCCTCATATTAACCAGGCCCTTCCGGGGTAAGATGATACCTGCCTAATGGGAGAACACCAAGGCGCCGAACTCCGTTGATATATCTAGAAAGGCAACATTTGATCGTTCATCTGCACGTGTGTGCCTATTAGGCGGCGATTCAAGATATATTGTTGATTGCACATGTATACTATTACATTCGGCATGCGAGTGATTCACAATGCAGCTTTAAATTTAGATGAAAATAAATTCTTATTGTGTCTGATCACCATCGGCGGTTGTAGAGGGGTAACATATTGGGACAGAAAGACGGCCGTATGGTTTGAATAGGTGTAGTGGTTATTAACATACAATATAAAGTAATGTGTGTAGACTGGCAAGTGTTACATATGCCGAATTGGAGAAGGCATCCGAATGATTTGGAAAAAAACTAACCTCCATGACTTAAACTGACAATGTAAGCCTGTAGGTTAAATAAGGTATCATTTAATCGACATACTGAATGGTGTCTGGCGTCACGTGGTATGGTTGGTTAGTGCCAGCCAAACCAGTATAATAATAATCCACAAATAACTATACTGTCAAAATTATGTCACTTTTATGTAACATACTCATATTAACTATAATGTTTTTTGAGCCAGCTAGTGTTTGCTAAGATTTATCTCAAACAAATGTGGCATAGCTAGATTTTGCTACATAAATCTTTGACATTGAGTCCAGATACTTTCATATTTTCAAAGCTTGTATATTGAGATATTTCAATAAGTGCTGTTTAATTTAAGGTAGTGTCATTTTGCATCCAATGTTAAAATATTACCAAATAATAACACACACACAATAAAAAATAGGTTTTAATTCCAATTAATTAAATAAAATCTACATAAATGCAAGTCTAAAAAGATAGGTTTTAAGATTTCATTTAAATCTGACAACTGAATCAGAGTCCGACCTCCTCTGCAAGGATATTTCGGGGCAAAGCCAGAGTTCAAATTGTAATGACTGTAACAGTAACACGTTTAATTGAAAAGTAATTAATAGATAATAAAAGTAACTATTAGCTTTGGTAAGATATTAACCATTTTTATTGGCTGTAAAGATTATAAATTATATTGAAGCTTTTAAATACTCCTTATTTGCTGTATTCTGATGGATAATTTATTTTATAAAAGTTTCTTCCTTTGCATTTTTTCCAGCAGATCAACCTCAGCTGGCTCTTTCCGTCTGGGACGAGGAATTCCCCTCCAACCAGCAGCAGCAGCCTGACAACTGTGATCAGGCATGGAGCTCCGGTCCAGACCAGGACGACCAGGAGCCTCCAGAAACTAAGGAGAGCCAAGAAGACCCCTCATGCAGCCAGGAGGGGGAGGAGGAGGACAAGACCATCAGGTTCATCTTCACTCCTCCGTACGTGAAAAATGAGCTTGACCAGCCTCAGTCCAGTTATCAGAGCACTGAGGGAGAAGGAGATCCTCTACCGAGCACGTCAGCTGAGCAGAAGGCAGAGGGTGATGATGGAGCGTCCTCCAGCTGTTCTGCAAATGAACACGACGATAGCGACGAGGACTGGAGGGGCAGTGCGGGATCTCAGAGTGACAACAGTGACAGTGACCACAACGGCAAGCAGAAGAGGAGGAAGGGGCCTAGACTACCAATGGCCCCAAAACTGCCCCTGACTAAAAAAGCAAAATCACGAATTTGCTGTAAAGTCTGTGGGAAAGGCTTTCACGCGAATGTGTCTTTGGTGAATCATATGGAGGTTCACCCAAAAGAAGTGTGTGGTGTGTGTGGGGAACGATTCGAGACTGAGGACAGCTTTCAAGTTCACCTGAAGACACATGTGAAAGCTGAAATCTGTAGCGTTTGCGGGAAATGTTTTGGGGCCTCCAGCTCTTTAGAGACACACATGAGGATCCACACGGGAGAGAAGCCGTTTAACTGCAGCGAATGTGGGAAATCCTTCAACTGTCGCCACAACATGATGCGACACATCAGGATACACACAGGAGAAAAGCCGTATACTTGCACTGTCTGTGGCAAATGCTTCAATGACTACTCCACGCTGAAACGTCACCTCCTTATTCACATGCACAAGAAAGACCATGACTCAGTTAACACTTCTGCAAACAATAATGAAAATGGCGACGACATGGAGAAGAAGAAGAAAACATTGTCGTCATCACAGAAGAAGCAGCAGACTCAGACCATATGTGAAGTATGTGGGAAAATGTTTCACTCCATGGTTTCTCTGGTGAATCATGCCAAAAGTCACGCCACAGACCTCTGTGGCGTGTGTGGGATGCATTTCGATTCCCAGGAAAACTTAAAACTTCACCTGAAAACTCACAAAAACGGGAAAGTCTGTGAAGTGTGCGGGAAGTGTTTTGACAGTCAAGGAAACCTGGAGATGCACATGAGGATCCACACGGGGGAAAAGCCGTTCCTCTGCAGCGAGTGTGGCAAATCCTTCAACTGCCGACACAACATGATGCGACACATCAGGACCCACACGGGAGAGAAACCCTACCTGTGCAACATCTGCGGCCGCTGTTTCAGTGACCACTCCACGCTGAAACAGCACAGCAGCACACACACCGGAGAGAAACCACACCGCTGTGAGATCTGCGGTAAAGGCTTCCACCGAAAGACTTACGTGAGGCTTCATATGAAGAGCCACACAACTGAGAAGTGACTGTTCTGTAAATATAATGGGATGTAAATAAAAACCTTGACATGAAAAGTTTTTTTAAGCCAATATCGACTTTTTTTAACATGTCAGGGCTGCAAATTCATCTCGACTGTTCATGCATCATTTGCCTTGTTGGGATCTTATAGGATCCATTTTTTACACTGTCCCAATCAATTTTTTAAATGGTTGAAAAACCTATTTTTAAGATGAGATGATGTGACAAGTTGTCACCAGTCATTGCAGTTTGCTGCCCTTAAAAGCAGGTTTAAAGCTGTAATAGCAGATTTTTGGCACTTGGAGGCAGCAGAACAAGCTAAACACGACATACAATCTCTTTATTAGGTTAGTTTGGCTGATGTGTTAGCAATTAGCTGCTCATTAGCACATTATCACTCATATGTAGTTGTGTTAGTGTCCACCTTAAGTCCAGTGTTCACTCTTCAGCTTCAGGTTATTTACATCACGTGCAGTCTGCAACACTTCACAGGTTAAAAGGGACCAGTTAACTGTTAGTTGACTGCTGTCAGTATAGAGTGGTGCAAAATTGAGTCCTAAAACCTGGAAATGAGTTAGCATTTTGGCACACTGGTTCCCTCGTCTTGATGTCATTGGGGTTTTTGAATTGGTGCTAAGGTCTGTGGTTAACACAAGCTTAAAAGACTTTAGTACTACTACCATAAATACGTCCGTAAATACCCTACAGGTACATTTGAAAGCCTTTATGCGTCTTAAAAAATATCAGCCTAACGTCAGCTTTTTAATTCTGGTGATTGCATTTAGGCTCAAAGAATCACAAAAGTGGTCTTGATACGTGAAGATTATCTTGCTGAACAAAACTTGTGAGTATCATTAACCTTGTTTTGCCACAGAGCTTATATTCTGCATCAATACAAAATTCAAAAGGAAAAAAAACATTGGCTTCTCATTGAGGGGACCAGGGCGACACTAACTTCCACATGGCCTACAAATAAACCTCATCCCTATAGTACTCTATGTTTGACCAGTTATACATGTCAGACTGTAGGTTAATTATGCAACTCTCCAGTTTACTGCACTGCACATCAATAAAGTCTGGTGGGAGCTAGTTAGCAGCATGTTATTCAGCAATTACCATATTAATCAAAACTGACATCCCTAAATTGAATATAGAATTTAAAAAAACACACTGACATAGCATGATAAAATTGAAAATACCACTGATCAAAGTAGAAACCAGACATAAAATTCTCAGTATACAGAGAAATAAGACACGAGATGTACATGTCAGTTAAAGGCTTTACTAACCCTTTACACGACTGAAAACAAGTTCCGTTATGCGTTAAAGAATAAGGCCAGAAATAATATGTATTCTTCTTACTGTCAAAAAACAAACAAACAATGTAATCGCCAAAACTAACGATGTTGTAGTCCACGGTGCTTTCTAACTTCTTGTCTGTGGCTTAGTTTTAAAAATGTGTGTCGCATAATGTTAAACGCCCTCCATGTGCTGTTACAGTTTACTGCAGCAACACACAACGTGCCTAAGATAATGGAAAGAGTTTAAATAGTAAAAGACTTTTTCTTGTCTTCTCATTTATGGCATTTATTTTATCAGTTAATAATGCCAAGACTTAAAAAAAAAAAATCCTCTTGTAATATTTTTGAGGTGTTCAACCAAAGATGTTTGCAGAGCTGTGAGACTCTGACAGTGTGTCAACATTCAGCTGTTTTAATAAACATTCACGTAATGACTTATTATTTATGATGATTTATTCTTGAGTCCACTTTGTGTATGCTTTTTTTCCACAGAGATGAAAAGGGGAACAGGGGAAACATTGAACTTTCAGAGGCATGTTTGCAGTTTCAATATTTCAGCTTTGTTTTAGGTTAAAATCATCATCAGGAACAGGTAAAGGAGTCAGGAAAAAAAACAGGTAATATATAGGTGTGCCAGCAGGTAGGCTGATGATGCCATGGGCAGAACATCAACACATGTCAGCACACAACTCTTTCAGGATTTTTTGCCTTGGATGACAGAGACTGTAGTGAGATGATGAACCAAGTTCAGCTAAGGTCCCTGCCCAGATGTTGCAGTTACTTGGTCAGGCCACCAGGATGCCTGAAAATGGCTCTGCACACATGTGGTTCACCTACACAGGTGATTTATGAGCCTTATTTCTGCTGAGCAGACCTCTTCCAGGATGTTTGATATCACCCCCATTCTCCTGGTAGCTTTGTTGCACCTGCTAGTGTGAGATAAATGAAATCTTTATGTTTCTTATCAGTTTAAGAAAATCTGTTTTGTCATAGTGCCCCATACATGACACAGACTCTGGTTTTCTCTCGGTGTAGAGTTTTCGTATTCTCTCTGTGTATGTGTACTGTATCACTGAAGCAGAGCTTTTCCAGCTGAGCTGCACGTGCTAGTCTGTCCCACCACCAAGTGTTAAACAGGACTGATAATGTGGTTTATTACATTACGTTAATAATCTTATGTATCTCTGGAATGGTGCATGCAGAGACAAAACACACTGTCCCAAGTTTTGTCCAGAAGCTAGCATTAGCTGTCATGCCGTTCCAAAGAGGGCTCTGGTGTGATTCAGAGGCTTTGTAATCCAGCCCTGAACTGCAGTGTATTTCTGGGGAGTTTGTAAAACAAAGCCATTATAACAAATCCCACACCGGATGTCTTCTGTGATTATTTATCCATTTCCCGTGTTGAAAACTGTTGCTGTTGTTAGCCATCCACTAGCCATCCATGCTTTGGGTTGAGTCCATTGACCAATCAGAGGTTGTGTTTCTGACTGTGTGGCAGCTCTGATCTCAAACACACATGATATTGGTCCAGACAATAGCGTAATAAATGTTGTCTTTTACTTCTTTTAGAAAGGGAAATGTTTGTCAGTCTTAATTAATAATTAACAAGAAATGTCAAGAAAATGTATTTTCTCCTAGGATGGGTCAGTTGTACAAATGCAGAGGTTGACAACAGTACATCCATGTACAGAACTGAAATATAAAAGACACTCAAGCACATTTACTCACTGGACCAAAAACAAGGCAGCAGTTGTTTCAGATGTGGACCCAACCGCACACAAAATAGTTACACTCCACGAGACAGCAGAGAGGAAACTGCATGTGATCAACCGTTCTGTTTTTTCTTTTATGTTTCCATTGTATCACATTAATGTGTTCATGCATCTGTGAAGTAAAGTAAAGTTGTGTGTGCGTCTGTGTGTTTGGTAGGGCTGCCACCTTCCTGAATGGAAATAAGGAAAGGGTGTAGAGAGGGGTCCTCTGTGACTAATGGAGAAAACTGGGTGGCAGACAGTGCAGTTGGCCTTGTACACATTGTCACAGTCACGCATCCCAGCCATTGGAAAGCATTTTCCCATTTCCCGTTGTATTTTTGTAGTCTTTTTTTTTTTGCCAGTGGGCTATTCTCATAGGTTGCCTTTTTCAAATCTTTGCTATGTCAAGTGTAACCTATTAACACTGTCACTCGAGTGACTCATGACCATTGAGAACCGCATTCTCTGTTTGAGTAGTGAAACTCTCTCTCCAGTAGCTGTGGCCCCCCAGCAGGACAATGCACCATGCCACACCACAAAAACAGCACAGGAGTGGCCCGAGGAACGTGACAAAGAGCACTACCATCGACAAGTACCATTGCCACAAAGGGGTTTACTTGGTCTGCAATGGTGTTCGGGTGGGTGGAGCACATCAGGTAGCATTTACATGAATGCCAGGACCCAAGGTTTCCCAATGGAATATTGCATTGTAACAAGATGATCAATGTTATTCATTTCACCCGCCAGTGGTTTTAATGTTTTGGCTGATCGATGTATAAAAAATATTGGATACAGCGTCGGATGTGGGAACCAGTTCATCAAAGTTGCTCAGTGGCACATGTAGCCAAAACAATTTGATTTTTGTGTGTAAAATTACCCGCATCCCAAATCAAATCTCAATCGCAAAGTTGTGGTTGTGATGTATCCACTGATTTACAGACATCTCTTTCACAATGTAAGTCTACGAGAAAAACTCTTTATCGACCCAGTGGCATCATGTGATGGACCCCAGAAGTTGTAATTCCACAGTTTGGCCTCAACGCAGAGTGCTGTTTCTCAGGGCTTGAATGTAACATGACAGACAGTCTGAGGGATGACGGATCAGGAGGGTGTGCATCTACTTCACACCAGTTGCCCTGTCTTAATAGTCTAACCAGTAATATTTCCCACCCATAGATTTGCACTAAATTAATTTTCAAAAATATGGGACACTTTGAAGTGCATTATGTATCAGTTCAATAGAGAGCATGTCTTTTAGTTCCCAATTATGGGATGATTACTTATTTTACGGAACGGTTATCAACCGTCATGTGTGTGGGGGTTGTTGTTAGCTGTTCAATCATTTGACAAGCAGTTCTGACAGAGTATACTGGCACCTTAACATACAGGGTCATGATCAACTGCCTGTGAGGCTGTTGCAATTAAAGTGACATTTTAACTTTTTGTTTTTTAAGCGCCTGCCTACAGTACACTGATATCTATCCAATCATATTACAACATCATCAGTTGGAGCCAAAAATGAAAACCCATCTTTAAACACATCAGAAAGTTGTGTTACTCGCAAAATATGCAGAAACTGAGACCAATAAAAAAAGGAGTCTCGTCACAATGAGGAAGTTAATTGAAATCAGTCATTCCCTGAGATATGTTCAACTGCTATTTAACATTTTCATCATTTTAGTAAAATAATGTTGAGCTAAAAAGTGAGATGCCTTTGCAACATACTAAATTTCTCTCTTTCTCTTTTTATTAATTCGTAGGCAACATCTCAGGCTGAAAAACAAAACTAGAGCGTGACTTTGTTTAGAGCAAAACAACTTGCAGCGGAAATTAAATGACTTGTTCATTTCATGCTCGTTGTTTGTTTCAGGGTGAGTCACAGCTGATGTGAACAGCCGTGTTTTATATTGCACTGAGAGCAGAGAAAAAGTGTGTCATCCACACAAATAAGTGTGTTAATAATGGATCTGCACACACACTTTGAAAATAAGACAGAATATTGTACCGTATGAGTCATAAGAACAAGGAAACTCTTTCAGACTCTTGAACATGTAACTGACTCACACCTGATGATGCCAGGTTCCTCATCTTGGAGCAAACTTGCTTATACAACATGTTGTCTAGAATTGTGTTTATGGCTGTTCCAAAATGTCCACACCTGCAGGTGGAGTGAAAAGCTTGTAGTCATATATGGTGGGTGGCATACGATGCAGAGTTTAAAGGTGCAGTGTGTATGATATGGCCAGAATTGTAGTCAACATTAAAAAAACATTAAAAAATGAATGAACATTAAAATGAACTAACATTACCACAGAATCTGAATAAGTAACAGCCTGACATTATGTTAAAGACATCTATGTATTGTGTTGCACAGATATCTGCTGTAATGAGCATGCTAACCAGCTAGCCCTGACCTGTCCTGTCCTGTAATATCATATGTACTCCAACAGGGGACACTGAGTTATACTGTAGTGTCTGTCTGCCCTCAGTCCAACATGAGAGGACGAAAAGGTAGAGCTGCTCTGAGAGCTTGTTGATGGTACAGATCCTTGTTAGTGACAAGGTAAACATAAAGGTGGCGGAAGCTCTTGGCAAGCGACCTTCATCACCATCCCAAAAATCTGTCATCCCAAACTCCCGGTGAGAAACTAAGTTCAGGCAGAGAAAAGAAGGGATATTTAAATTTAAAAAAGTAAAATAAGAGTAAACATTGGCGTGTCCCTCCACCACTGGAAACAGCTCTTGGGGAGGAAAGAGATGAGGTTTGGTGCTGAACTGGTAACATTTTGTTTAGACTCATAGATAGGATAACATCTAATGTTGGCTATTTAGCGAAACATGTCTTTTGTGCCTTTCAGTGCAACTAATGACAACACAAAATGTACCCAAAAACATCCCAAATGCTTTGATAAATGGTTTTGTTTTCCTCAAAGTGAACAAAATTAATTATAATGTAATCAACAGGCCGACGCCATACATAATGATTTTAAAATAGCAGTATTATTTTGAGTGGCTCTCAGAGTTTCAGCAGTTTGGTCGAGTTTTGCATATTCTTGCCTTGCTGTTAGTTAGTAGTTGGCTTGGAGGTGAAATGCTGCCTCCCATTAGTGTAGCAAGGCATTACATGCTGCACCTGTGAGCTCTAAAATACACTGCTCAAAAAATAAAGCGAACACTTAAATCACACATCCCAGATCTCGATGAATGAAATATTCCAGATGAAAATCTTTATTGATTACATAGTGTAATTCGTTGAGAACAAAATAATGTAAGAAAAATCCATGGAAACCAAAATCATTAACTCATTAAGGACTGGATTCAGAATCATACCCAAAATCAAAGTGGAAAAATCAGATCACAGGCTGATCCAACTTCTGTGAATTTCCTCAGGACAACTCATAATGTGGCTCAGTAGTGTGTGTATGGCCTCCACGTGCCTGTATACATTCCCTACAACATCTGGGCATGCTCTTGATGAGTTAGTGGATGGTGTCCTCAGGAATCTCGTCCCAGACCTGGATCAGGGTATCAGTCAGCTCCTGGACAGTCTGTGGTGCGATGTGGTGGTGGTGGATGCTACGATACATGATGTCCCAAAGGTGCTCGATTGGATTCAGGTCTGGGGAACGGGCGGGCCAGTCAATAGCATCAATGCCTTCGTCATCC